TGATGCCTTTCAAAGGTGGTAATGTTTAATATTATTGAGAGAGGTCATGGGGAAGGCCCTGGAGTGAAGTACGTACTCACTATAATAGCCCATACAAGGAGCCTCTGCCCACGAGGTTCTTTTTTCAGGCTTCAGGTTCAGGGCTGTCACCAAGATTTCAAGTTGCCAGGGAAATAAAACAAGTAGGCGGGAATCTAACAGCTAGGGATTTCTTTTGGTTCTATTTTTCTTTGATTTTCCTGTAAGAGTAACCGTGGGCCATGTTCATAGTAACCAGGGGAAATCCGCGGCTCCCTCCTCTTAATCAGCCCTGCTTCCGGTATATTAAAGGTAGGGAAATCTGTTGTTTTGGTCTGTAAAAAAAAACCAAAAGGGCTAACAGATGCATTTTATGGCTATGAAAAAGCCAAGAAAACATGATATTCTGAAATATTTGTGTAAATTGCTGAACTGATATACAGCAGGAGGGGCTCCTGTACACAGACTGTTTATAGCTTGGCCAGTGCTGTAAAAACGAAAAAAATGAATCGTGTTATTTCATAATTTGTAGACAGTGAGAAATTTATCAAGAAATAGCTATCTGGCCCTTGAACAAAATATTCCATCGCCCCCTCCTCCCGTTTTTTCTTTTGTTTGTTTGTTTGTTGTCTTGTCTTTTTCTGATTTTTAATTCTGATTTATTATGGACCGCGCGTGACCGCGCGTTCCTTGCTCCTCCCACGCAAGAGTTACCCCGTTCCACTCCCCTGAACCCTTCTCGGTTCTCCCAGGCGGTTACCAAGCTCTGTTCGGATTTTCGGATGTAGATTTTCTCTCTTTTACTACATTTGTTTGTTAGTAAAACTGCGGTAGTAAGCACGTTGAATTTTACGATGGTAAATGTGACGAAAGGAGTTTTGGTTGAATGGTAAGTTTTTTCTTTGTACAACTTTGGAAACCAATTTGCTATTATAAAGACTCTTCTAGCTTTCCTTATAAAAATATTAAGTTTAAGATTCCAGCTCTTTCCGTAATTTCTAACTTGTTTACCTCTTCTTTTACATCGACTAACAACGCTTTTCGCTGTCTCTTCTTTGGCTAAATTTAATATTTTAGATTATCCCCGCGTTTTTGGTTTATAAAACGTTGAAAGAAGTGTCTGATAGGTTGCAATTACTGCTCACCATCACCTCCTCAGCCCCAACTCCCTTCCCCCCTCCCCCACAAACACACATGCACCTCCTTTACCTGGGAGAACTTTTGATCAGGAGAATAGACCCTTTCCCATTTATTTTCCCTTTTTTATCTTTTGACATGTTCCAGTGAAAAACCAGTGACACTGTGTTTATTTCGTGGTGCGTGTTTCGTTATTTTGTTGTGTGTAAAGTCAGTCGAGATGCAGCTCTGTGAAAACTGAACCAAGGTCAAACAAGAAAGTGGCTTGTCACGGGCAGACCACCCTCTGTTAGTGGGGCCGTTGTTGATTGAAATCCGAGTCTCTCTCTTTAGAAATGCAGATAAACAATACAGTGGCTGTAATTTTCTCCAAAATGCAGATTTTAATCGGATTTCAATCAACAATGGCCCCACTAACAGAGGGTGGTTTCCCTGTGGGCTTGTGTGATTGGAGTGTGAGTGTGATGTCATTGCAGTGGTTGTCAAAGTGCAATTTAGGAAGACTTCCATTTGTTGCAAGTGCTGCAGACTCAAGAAATAAATCAAAACAAATTTGGTCTGCGGCAGTAAAGCATATTTTCCAGCACAAAGAGCGAAAAAAAAAAAAACAAAACAAAACAAAAAACTGCAGGCTGTCTTAAACAGGAAACTGAATGATGAGTGTCCTTTCTGTACTTTTAGCACTTCTGGCCCTATTTCTTAAGTAAGCACCATTTACATGTACTTCATTGCTAATAAGCATTTTGTTATACCATGGTCTTTGGGTTGCCTTTGTATTAATGTTCTCTTAGCCTGGTAACACCACAAATTAACATATTTCAATATCTTTTCCCTTATAGCGATCCTGCAGTAAAGCAATTTCTTCTTCACCTCGATGAGAAAATAACTTTGGGCAGAAAGTTTGTGATTGAGGATTTGGATGAGACCCACCTGTTTGTGTCGGCAGAAATTGTTCCTATTTTGCAAGAAAAAGTATGGGAAATTATGGATAACAATTCATTCAATGTCACACAGAACAACTGAAGTCCATTGAACTGATGGTGAGGTGGACATCATTAAAAAGATTTTTACTTTTGAAACTCAAGTTTTATAGTACATGGTAACGAGTCAAGAAATACTGTCATCATGCGATCCACTGATGTGGTTCTGGTATTTATCCTGAAGAGCAAAAAAATGCCTGTGAGTGTAACTGCAACCATTTTGATCTAGTGGCTGGTGATTTCAACCTTCATTTAACAACTGGATTTCCTTGATAGAGGTTGGGTGTCTTGAGTATTGGGCAGTCAGCCCCTGGATTGAATAGTGCTCCCATGGTTCTGGCACGAATGTGCAACCCAGCCATGAGCCACCACTAATAGGAAATAAAAACAGGCACCCATCACACTAAAAAAAATATCAGTCTTGAAATAGTGAAAGGGAGAGGAGAAAAAGTGGCTGAAAGAAACCTTGGGTGTGTTCCGTTGAGATGACCTGGATCAGGATCAGATCACTCAGGTCATGGTGCATCAAAAAGGCCCCCCTGGGGGGGTTACGTATGTCCCTTAGTCTGAATTTTAAAACATGTGGTTTCGTGTATTGAGGAGGAAGCCACGTCGCTGTTGGTATTTTACAATTGTTGTGTTTGTGCCTTTCTCTGTCACTGTCGCAGTTTCAACCCATCTTTGTGTCGTTTGTCGTCATTTCTGCTGTCCTATGCCACTGTTTCAAGGCCATATTGATTGTTGGAATTAGCCCTAACAGGACCTCATCATAGGATCGGACAAATCCAATCTGGGAAAGGATTCATAGGTTCCTTTGATCTACATGATCTAAGTGATCTCAGATCACTGATCCTGATCCCAATGGAATGCACCCATTGTGGCAGACACAACACATCATGAAGGAAACTGTACACACCATTAAATCACATGCATGAAGAAGGAAGTGATCTATCGGGCATGCATATACCAACCAGCCATGAACCACCAACACTAAAGACGCTCTTAGTTTGTTTATAGCTCTTATATTGCATTTAAATGCATACAATAACAACAGCAAAAATTTACTCTATTACATAGCTAAAGATTACAATGATCTCCTCTGAACCCACATTTGAGAAGAAGACTATTAAATCAAGGTGGGATTCTAAAGAGAAACAGAAATCAGTGGATGCCCATGTACCTGTACATGTAAGTCTGCAGAAATAGCTATATGATAAGGTTGAAAGAAATCAGGTTCCAATATTGTAATGAGTATTATACATGTATGTCAGGGTTTTTATGGTCTTGGCTAAGAAAGGAAAAGGCTACTTTTCAAGGTCAGGGAAGTTTTTTACGGAATGTTCTGAAAACCGTCGTTGAAAATTTAGGGAAAAGTCAAGAAATTTGTTTTCTGGTTGCCGATACCTTTCAATTGGAATAATTAGTGTTAAAACCTCCAGTGTCCACACACAGGTGGGTATTCTGGATTTCAAATGACAGGGATGAGCGAAGGATTATTTGGGCTTGAAATTTTCAATTTCAGGATTTTTTTGGGTAGGAAAATTTTGGCTAGTATTTTTTTTATTAGCCTGCGAACAGCAGATGTATTTCCTGTCGCCGCTTCTCTCCCCCTTCGCAGGCTATTTTTTTATGGGCAGCTTGATTTAAGTAGGAATGTTTTGGGTATTTAAAACTTTCTGAAGATTCGTGATGGTGCCCACGTATCCTGGCCGCATAAATCCCCAAATAAAGTAAAACCAAACTTGTTTTGTGACTGTTTTTATATTTAACGCATTACATTGCATCTTTTTCATAAAACCGGTTAATATATATTCAATCATGTCAATATAGTCTGCAAAATGTCCCCAGGTGTAAACAAATGCTTCAATTCATTTTTTGTTGTCTCTGTTATAATAGTTTTGTCAATGATGAAAAATGTGCAAAAATGCTGCGGACACTGTACTATGATCAAAAAGAAATATTGAACTTTGAGGAACAATGGGCTTAATTTCAAACTACAGAACAGAAACGCCCAAGATTCCATTTCATCCAGGAGATTTACTGACTCAGTGGCAGTGCAATATCCGGAGATCCGGGTCTCTGGGATAATCTGGAAGAGTTGTTGGCATATATACTGTGCAGAAGGACCAGAAGCAACATTGGCCAAAATGAACGTTCATTGTTGTTGTTGTAAGTTGTTGTTTTTCAATGTAGGTCAAATGACTGAACATTATAGTGAACTTTTGTTTTCAAATTTTGTCTTACCCCGCACATATGTGAACATAGCCTGAATGTCAGGCTCTTCTCCGTCCTCCCTCCTCCTCCCATCTTTGCACCTGCCACGCAGGCTTAAATGTACGTGTTGTGGTTACTTTTTTATCTCAGGTAATTTTAATTTTTCGTTTGTTTCAACTTCATTAGCATAAATCACCATACCCAAAAACAAAAGAAAAACAAAAAATTACGTGAGACAAAAAATAAACTGCAACATACACATAATTTTATATGAAGAGACAATAGTCAAATTTTTCTGACATTCATTGGGAAAACAAAACATACAAGACCATAGAAAAGCTATAGGAGATATATTGGGATATGTTCTAGCCTACGTTGTTTCCCCCTCTTTTCCGCGTGATCCCAGGTTCTAGAGATGTTAGAGACGGATAAAAACCCGATCATCCCCGATCCTCCCCTCCAATTCCCCTCCAATTCCTCGCTGGTCGGAGCCCAGGTCCCAGCAATGATCACTCTTTATTGCGTAATATATACTACACGCACGCGCACTGATGCATTCATTCTGCACGAGGGTGCTTAAACGAAAAATATTCCTGCGAATCTTTCTTTTTCTATTGATTTCTCATTGTTTGAGTACTTTTCTCATTCAAAATGAATTTGGGAAATAGGGAAGATGATTATTCAATACAAGACCCGAGTATGGCGTATTCAGGTAAGGTGCTTGCTCCGATGTTCTCTAAGATCTAGGTCTTGACTATGACATAAGTAACTTTGAAAATTATATTGCGAATGTACGATGTGAGTAGCGGCATGTCTGTTAAATAAGGTCATTTTATCGCTAAACTTGAGTTTGCTTGTTTGTTTCACAAGCGAATTCTAAATTACATGTACTGTAAAACTCATTTACAACGATGGGAATACCAAGCCTGAGACATTGTATTGATTACATCATGCTCCGGTAGGGTTGTCGCTTAGAGCTGGCCTTTGGCTGATTACTCCGGCTTAAAAAGAGCTAACCTTTTCTAAAATAGCTCTGGAAAACAAAGACATGGAGTAATTTTGAAGGTTCAGTTGAGTAAAAACGCTGGCTTCACCAATGAAAAAGCCAGCGTTGCTTTTCCTTAGCTTCATCCCTGCTGTGGACGAATCTAACTCGGCACCAGAAAATTCTTGCTCCAGTTTGATTGCCAGTCAGAATTGCCTTGTGGAGCTGGTGTTGTTATAAAATTGAAAGAAATTACATGTTACAAGAAAAAATTGAAATTGCCTAACATACATGTATTGTAAGACCAAACAAGGTATATATATAACAGCTGTACATGTGTCACGGACCAAAGAGAGTTATTTAAAACATTTAACAGGGCTGTCATTAAGTGCTTAGTCTGCGAAAACAGCCTTTTCTCCTCACTCCTCGCTGCTGGGGACGTTTTGTGAGGAGGAACGTCCGTGACTCAGCGACAGAAATTCCATACTGATGACGTAAAATCTGACCAGAATCAGGTCATAAGCGCTGATTGGACAACGGAGTAGTTACATTGTTTTAGCTATTGTTTACGAATGACAGACAAAAGACAAAAGGCTACAAAGGTCAAATGTAAATGCGATGAATTTATAACAAAACAATCAATATTTGTGGAACGTATTCTTCGCAAGAGGAAGGTTTTGAGTTTTGCTGGAACTTGTTTGCAGATAGAAACATAAAATTGAACAAATTTGCATTTGGAACCACATGACTACTGGATTTATTATTTAAACATTGATTTTACGTCATCAGTATGGAATGTCTGTCACCGAGTCGCAGACATTCCTCCCAAGAAACATCCCCAGCGGCGAGGAGCAAGGAGAAACAGCTGTTTTCACAAGCTATTAAGTGCCGGGGGCTGGGGATTTTCCCCAGCTACTCTGAATGTGGTCCCTGGCTACTTTCATTGGAAAATAGAAAAAAAAACAGAACCAAAAGATATCCCTAGCTGACCCCAGTAATGTAGGAGCTGCTCGTAAGGTGTTTCCTCATTTGTCACAGAGAACAATAACACATTATTGTATATCATTATTTCCCATTGTTTCATGGTTAGGGTATCGAACCAATTGTCTTTTAGGGGTAGGAGAGGTACCTAGCTGTTTGATTCCTCGCCTACTTGTTGTATTTACCCGGCAACTCAGAAATCTTAGTGACAACCCTGATTTAAGCTTGCACAACATTGGAAGGAGATAACTGTATAGGAAAAAAAAGTTTTGCAAGGCTTTTATGCATGCATCACAAGGCTTGAATGCACCCATCTTTTTTGGTAGCTTGGGTGCCTTGTACTTAAGTGTGACATGCATTTCATGTTTCTTTTTAGTCAACAGAGGTGCAGCACTCTCACCATATCTGAACATTGATCCATCATATCTTAATCAGGTAAAATAATAATATTATAGAGAGCTTTAGCAACCACAACCATGATGGCAATGAGAATGTAAAAAAATAAATAAATGAAAACAATATTATTGGTATTATGAGCAAAACAAACTCTGCATGTGCATCACACTTTTTTTGTACATTTTCAGTCAGAGATTTTATTAGGGGCCCAGGTGTAGGTATTTCCCATGACTATCATCACTATACAGGTATTGCAATCTCGATTTTTGTGTCAGGATGATTCTAAGCAGAAACAGCCAGTGGTGTCATTATAACTTAATTTAAAATCGTACTACTGTATTTCTTCATTCTAATTGTGTTTAGTATGCATTTCGTGATGTGTGCAAACAGTATGACTGTAAACTGGCCAATAAAGATCCAAATCACAATGAAGTTGTGATTTAAGGACTCTCTTGTAGTTTTTTATTCCACAAAAAAATTTGTTGACCCAATGTTAGGCCAGGGTCTGTTATCAGCAAAATGTGTACATATATACCAGTTCGTCGTTTCTCAGCTAATGTGTTACCACCCAGCATCTGCTTGCAGCATTATACTTAGAATTTTTAACCTCAAGGCAGTCTATATATTGTAGTTAAAGCACAAGATTTTAACTTTGTTTTACAGGGTGGAGCTGAGTTTGTTTTTCCTACTGATAGTAAAAAGAAGAGAAGTTGGGGTGAACAGATGTTTTCAGGGATTGGAACCTCGTATATGTGTGGTATGTTGTCAGAACATTGTTGAATTCAGTTAAACCCTTTCACTCCTAATGGCTGCCAAAGAAAATAATTCACTCTCAATAAATCCAATTCTGTTATTAAAATCCTAAGAACTAAATAGTGCTATGCAAAAGTTCTACCAAAGAGTATTCATTTTTATGGTAAAATCATACGATTTCATCTTCAAGTTATTGACCTAATAATAATTATCTTCCCTTAACATACTGAACATTGCAGAAGTGGAAAGGGTCAACCAGGTGCTGAGTTAGGGAAAAGTTCATTTATTATAATTTGGACTTGGTTCTTATGACAAGCAGGAGTCAGTTTATTAAAACTTTTAGAAATGTAGATTAGTACTGTTTTCAAACTCTAGAGCAATGGCTACATGTGCAAAAGTTTTATTAAATTTACCCCAGGGCTGTCAAAAAGTTCTGTAATTTCACTGGTTGCTACATGTACTCACTAGTAAAAAGAAAAAAAAAATAGAGCAAAAAAGGTGTTACTACTTGCCATTGCCATCTACATGTACTTTTTTACTTTTTCCCTCTACTTCTTAAGTACCCTGATTAGATACATTCATCAGATGCCTTTCATGTTTTGGAGAGTTTGAAACCTTTCAGCCGAGTAGTTTAAAGGCACTCAACTTGATATGATGATCCTCTTTTTAAAGGTTTGGCAGTTGGGGGGACATGGGGTTTATATGAGGGCCTACGGAATCCAGATGGCAAGACCCTCAAACTTAGAGTAAATAGGTATGTATTCAATCCTTTTCATGACTGATCATACTTGTATCAATTTTGTTTTATAATTTAAAGACCAGCCTCGGTTGTTCAAACTTTGGATAGCGCTATCCACTAGATAAATCACTATGCAGTGGCTAAGTACTTGCGTTATCCACTGGACAAAGATTTATCCTGTGGATAGTGTTATCCATCTTTTGAATAACTAGGGCCAGGCTGTGCTCTAAGAAAAATTGAATGGAGCCCATTGCTGTGAGCCTGTGAAATTCAGGGTGCCCAGCATATGATTTCTATGAAAAAAAAAAATAGTAATAAAACTAGATTTTTATAGTTGCCCGGGCATAAAAGTTAGGTGCCAGGGGTCACTGGGTGCTGTTAAAACACAGCCTTGAACAAATTTGACAAGTCAGAGTAAATTTTCAGAGCTTGTTTGGTAGAATAAGTAACAACTTGATTTGTTTATTGCAAATTTTACAGTGTACTTAATGGATGCACACGGAGGGGTCCATCTTTTGGAAATGGCCTAGGGATTCTTGGTAAGTGCAGGAATATTGTAACAGCTTATATAATGAGGGAAATTTATTTGATACATTTACATATCAACTGCCTGTAGTTGCCCCTGTATATCTCTTGTTCTGCTTGTGACAGACTGCTTGACATGGTAGACCACTTTTCTGAGAAACTTCTGCAGGGAATGAGATCTTTCAAATAATGCCCAAATTAGCATGAGTTAGTCAAGCAAGCCACAGGAAAGTGCAAAAATATAATTATAACAATTATTCACTGAAGTGGAGGTGGTTTAGCTCGATGAACATCCACCACTAGCCACCTCCACTTCGGTGAATACCGTATTTATTCGATTAACCGCCCTGGGCGCTTATTAAATTTTTGGACCTTGAGAGTGGGCGCTTATTTGAGGTGGGCACTTATTCGAGGCTGGGCGGTTATTAAATTTTCACCATTTTCAGCAGTTTAGTGTAGTATTTTTATTTTGCAAAAAAAAAAAAACAGTAAATGCCAGTAACAAAACGTGAAGAAGTAACAAAGCAAGGTTTTCTCGGTACTCGGAAGAACACTCCGTCTTCGAGGAAGTCTCTTATTAGTACTTATTCAATTTCAATCTCATTATCGCTCAAGTAGGTGGGGTGGGGGTGGGCGCTAATTGAGTTTGATTGGGAGGGGGAGGGGGTGGGGTGGGCGCTTATTCGAGGCTGGGCGCTTATTAACTTTTTCTGCCTTTAGGATGGGCGCTTATTCGAGGTGGGCGCTAATTCAAGGTTGGGCGCTTATTCGAATAAATGCGGTAATTGTTTTAGTACGTACTAAAACAGTGAGATAATTGAGCACAAAAATGATGATTTTTAACTCAAATACTGGTGCCAACGATTACAATTTTGGCGCGTAATGACTGAATGGCCGCGGCTGTTGCTTTTTCTTGCCGACAAATAATACTTTTGAAGGCATTTGTTTAGCTCTTGCCGGGAAATTTCTTCAAAAGGAGTTGTGAATTCTTTTTGTATTTAAAATCATTCTGTAAAAAAAGATTATTAAATTTAGTCTTAAGCTTATTTATGAACAAGTCAACTAACTAATTTATAGTAACGCAAGACTTAAGCTTAATTTGCATTTGTAAACAAAAAACTTTTTCACCGGTTTTATTGATAAATTTGAGTCAAAAAGACAAAGCTTTACCTGTTAAAACTTCCAAACCGAACTTCGTCACCTTCTTCGTGTATTTCGGGAACAGCTTGCTTGATTAGTTGTTAAATTTCTTTGTTTATTACGGCAGCAAAGTGGGAAGGCATTTTGCTCGCAACTTGCGTGAGTTTGGCATCGTTTGCTCGGAGGAACTGGAGGTGATTCAGTGAATATTGCAGGATATTCACTGATTGAGTAGCCAATCAGAGCGTGTGAAAAACACTATCCACTTTTTTAGTATATACTAAACTGTTATATATAACATTCATCAGAAAATTCCAATGGAGATCTTGTTTCACCTATCCACTGGTACTTCCTGCAAAATGAATTCATGATCCTTGGGGGTTTTGTAGAAATGTCAGTGTATTCCCAATAAAAATTAATGTAGCCTTGTACATGCTCAGTAAAAAGTTACATGAACTTCAAAAGTTGTAATTATTTTGGATCAGGAAAAACAGCCAGCCTGGTTATACTGAGTGAAAAACCACCTGACTAGCTAAAAAAGTATTTTTTGGCATCAGTTTCCAGGGGCAATTAAATGGGTCCTTAAAGTATGTTATTATCACAAAGCATGTGTAGGAAAAAACTGGCTAACGTTTACGTAGGGAAAGAATTTAATATAAATATATTAATGAAAAGTTATAATTGAATAGTAACTAAAAAGAATTGAATTTTTTTTTCTTTGTTATGAACAGCACTCATGTACTGCAGTCTAGACACATTGATTGGAAAGTTACGTGGAGGAGAGGAAGATGAATTCAACTCTATTGGTGCTGCAACCTTGACGGGCATGCTCTTTAAATCGACAGCAGGCGTGAGACCCATTGCTATAGCTGGAGCTTTGGGTGGTGGTCTTGCCACTGCATATCATTTTGGGGAAAAGCTTTGGAACAGCAGAGGACATTCTCTTTCCACGCCCAACTGGGCTTAGATTCTGTTTAAATTTTTTGCTGCGAACAGTGCTTACAGTCTGTAACATCCATCACACTGAATAATGAGTTGGCTTTGGTTTGAAGTTATAGCCCCATATTTAATTTGCAAGAGGAAAGAAAAGTTGACCATTGTGTTGGTGAACGTGTAGAGTTCCATGGTTACAAGGCAAAAGTCATACTTTGAAGGACAAAAGGACTCAAAGGACAAAATCATTGCGCATGGAATAAGCTTGAGAACTGAAAAGGACTGCTCTGCAGCATACAATAACGTGGCATTACATCCATGGGTGAATCATGTTGCAGTTTACATGTTGATGTACCTGTACTAACACAATGTTCACTTGGATTTAATGAACCATCAAAGGAGATGAGAGTCATTCCTTTGTTTTACTCTGTGTAAAAAAAGTGAATTAGGTTGGTAAAATACAAGAAAGATTATTAAAGTGCAAAGTTCATGGAATGATATTCCCTAATGGGGGAGTTTTGCAGCTAACTGGTTTTAGATGCATTGATAAAACAAAACTACAGGATATGCAAGACCAAAGACATGGTTGTTCTTTATCAAGGTTTCCTTTATTGTACTTGAGTGCCAGTTAGCAAAAAAAAAAACTTCTTACAGGGTTCATATGTACCTTTAAAGTCATCTAATTTCATATAATATTATAATAATATTATTATGATAACATCAAAGACTTAAAAAAGAGTCCTTAACAATTGCAGCTGGTACTGGAAAGTTTTAAAAATAGAAAATTTCCATGATGACATTATTTGACTACAACTACCACAATCTTCTACTTTGCTGTGTGTACATGCAAATCAGGGCTGTTGTTTTACAAATGTTGGGGAGAATAAATTGAAAAAAGAACAAAAAAGTAATGGATTTTGGTAGTTGTGGTTATCTGACTTCATCGTGAAAATGGCCTATTAATTTTTTGTTGCTTACTTAATCTGACACAGAAAATGCGGGTGAAAAAATAATAATAATAAAAAAGGTTATAACACTCATTGAAAGCCCTAGCCTGTTCTCAAACCCTACGTTTAACAACAGTTAATTTATATTAAATAAAACCAAAGTGCAGTTAATGTTCCTGTGATACTGTTTTCCAACATTTTTTTAATTACTGGTAATTCTAATCATCATGCATACTGCATTATTCTAAACTTTGAAATCAAATAAACTGTGTTTGCCAATAATGCCAAATCACAAACAGTCGGAGAAAGCTGTCAACTTCATTTTGTCCGATTCATAAAAAACAAAAAACAACAAAACAAAACAAATTGCATCATGAAAAAGCACTAGTTTGATGGGGTTTCATATCAAGGATTACACTGTGAGGTCTCGTTCAAAATCAAAAAGTCTCATCCTAACCTTGGCCATCTTTAACAAGTGGGGTTTTACAGTAATAATTAGAGACCTTGAAGGTACACCATAACTTTATTGCCTTAGGTGTAGTTAGAGGTCCCTTCGCATACTTTTAATTTATATCAAAGATCATACTTTTACCACTTTCTTAGCTGGACACCAAGCTGGTTTCCCATGGTAACAGGTTGTTTACCTGTTTTTACTGCCCGGGACTTATGGTCTCTATCCTGTTTACATAGGTGGGGGTGTTGGAGGAGGAGGAGGAGGTGGCACACCAAAAGCCATGAATTCTCTTCCTGGAAAACTTTGAATATTTCCCCTGGGATTCTGAAAATGTTGAGGTGCAGGAATAGGGTACCTGTGGGAAAAACCAGGAGATGGACTCCCTGGCCAAGGATTTTGCACACCTGGTCCACCACCAAAGGGCCTTGGTGGCCCAAATGGTGGTCTGGGTACATTTATCATGGGGCCTGGCTCTGTTAGAGGAATGTGTCCCATAGGGACTGAAGAAGGTGGCCCTATTGGAGGAAGCATCACTGGGGGTACCCCCCTAGGAGGTCCCTCTGAAAGACCCTGAAAGTGCATAGCTTCATGAGGGAGAGGGCCCATGTAGGGTCTCTCTGATGCTTGCAAAGGTGATGCACTCCCACTCCAGGCTGTAGGACCTCTGTATGCTGGGTGTGGCATGGGCACTGAGTTGCTAGGAGGCATCCCTTGATTTTGGTTCTGAGTGACGGTCTTTCCTTTCGCATCATTTTGCCAAGTTCTCTTTCTGTTACCTGAAACATTTTAATGACAGAAACTTATGGTAAAGATTGATTTAAGAATGATTTGGTAATTTGGATTGCTTGTGGAAACTACTTTGCATTAAAGTCAAGTTCATTGTTCAATTCATGACCTCTTGTGATGCTCCACACATAGGCAATGCAAGGGAGTGCTTTTGTTACAATGATTACCTTATTCACAGCGAGTTTTGTCACCACAGGAGAGCTAAGTCCGTTCCACTCATGGATGGTACTAAATTATAAATTTATTTGTTTCTTTTAATTTCCCATTTCTGTGAATTATAATTTGGAGAACTTTTAGGAGCAAACAGGTTACAGGTGAAATTGAGTTTGACGGGTCCGTAGTTCTTCTTTTTTTAAATTACACTAAATTTCTACACAATGCACAAACCTCTTTTAAATCCCTGATGAAAATGGGACCCACTTTCTCCTGTTGTCCGAGTACTTTCATCTGTTTTAGAACCACTTTTGGCCATCCTACACAGAAATGTTTTCATGAGTGCATCAGAAATGAAATGAAATAATGGAGTTGAAGTCCAAATTGTGCACATATCTTACATACAAAATTTTTATGTACAATACTAGCCCTAATATTATTATGATTACTATTTATAATGATAAATATTAGCATGATCAGACTGGTTTCCACTGCAGGTTTACAAAAAAAAGGTCAGCTTTTTGAAAAAGACATTGAACTTGTACTTTCAGGAGTTGAAAATACTAAGGAGTGCATGACTCACAGTCCCCTAGAAGTAAGTCCTATTAGGGCTGGAGCCAAATTGGGAGGTGGTCAAATTTTTCAATGATCTGCATTTGGCGATGTAGGTATAGCTATGACATGGTGCTCTTATAATTTTATCAAAGGCATCTTATCAACACTCAAACATAATATTTGTACCTTTCTTTTCTCCTACTTGCTCTTGCTTTTGATTCTTCCTCATCATCAGAATATTCTACGGCCTATTAGTGGCAACAAAGATAAAATATAAAATAATAATAATAACAGGCTCAATTTCAATGCAGAACATTGACTTTTAATTATTCATACAATTGCTGTGCCTACTGATCTGAAGTAACAAATAATAAGGGATTTAGAAAAATGTTTAAAACTTTTAGCAAAATATAGTATTGATTGCCAAGCCAATTTTCTGTAAAAATTTTTAAGCATCTAATTAATTAAAAAAGTAATTTATTTCATTCACCTCTGGAGGGGGTTCTTCATCATGTTCCCATGAAGCATCCGAGCCTTTCAACCTAGCGAAAAATGACAAAGAATGAAAAACAAAATAATAATAATGTTTGCTACCTGGTTAGCTCAGTTAGAAGAGTGCCGGTCTGCTGAGCAGGAGGTTGCAGGTTCAAACCCCCGCCGGACCAACACTCAGGGTCTTTAAATAATTGAGAAGAAAGATTTTCTAGTCTTCTTGGATAAGGGCGAAAAACTGTAGGTTCCATCTTACGGTACTTTCACTTATCTGGTTCACAGGAAAAAATAACAGATTCCCAATATTGGATATTTTAGGGTATTTAAAGAATACCCACAAAAATCCCAAATTTGGCAAAGTGAGACAAGTCCCAACCAGGGAATTTCCAACCAAGTTCCTTGGTTCGGACTTGTCTCACTCTTCCAAATTTGGGATTTTTGAGGGTATTCTTTAAATACCCTAAAATATCCAAAAATGGGAATCTGTTATTTTTTCTGTGGTTCTTGTGGAACATAAAAGCTAAGAACTGTTCAAAAAAAGTAGGGGACATAGACCACATTGCTGTGGCCAACCTTTCCTGGGCTTGGTGGGTTAACGACCCGTACGGAGCAATCTTAATATAGGGATAACCTCATGATCCCCCTTCAGGTGTCGTATAATAGCTACCTGTAAACAGTGTATGTACAAAAAGAACAAAAACTATGAGAATTTTAATTTCTTGGTTGCATTGGACGGCACATACTATAGTCATTTAGTGTGTGTTTGATTTCAGTTTTGGGCTGTCAGAATTTCAGAAAAAAAGTTGTCACTTGTAATAGGATACATGCATTTTTAAAAATTAATACTCTGACCTCCCCACCCCTGAACCCCAACATGCTATAAAATAATATGACAAAATGACGAAACCTTAAAGCCATGTGCTGAGATAAAGATTTGAAATATTAATTTACCCTATTTTAACAAACCTGATTTCTATGCTAACTTACTTTTTCAGTTGTGCAACAAACACATAGTGTGAATACTCCATGACATCAGGAGCATAGAACACCTTGTCACCAACATGAACATTTTTACTAGATATATCTGATTCCCTGTTAAATCTGACAGAATAAAATGGTGTCTGTACAGGTCCAAAAGTCTCAAATACCTGCAATTAAGGCCAATAACAGCTTTTTAATTAAAACAAATGGATCCTTAGTGGTTCTAATGACTTTTTCTGTGAGCAGCGCCCTGCAGCCGATGGTCAGTATCTAGTGCACTTTGAAATTCAGAGTCTTGGAAATGGTGTTTCCAGGGGTTTTCAAGAGGTATTTTCCAATATGGGTGCCATGTTGTTTTATCAGAATACACGCAAGACTGGGAACAATGCCATTGAAATGTCCCAGGTGTCCCATAACATCACATGGTTCAAACATTTCACAAATCTAAACCTGTTTAAATATGTGTTCAATGTCATTCAAGACTGGGAAATGAATGCTAAATACAATTTTTTTCAATGGTGCTTATTTTTTGTTAGCAGTTGAGGTAGAAGGAGCTGAAAGCAGCTGGCTAAGGATGGCTAACTAGCTAGCGGTTTTGGAAGCCTAGCGGCCCTTTTTGACAGCCCTGTTTTGCCCCATGAAAGGGAATCCAACACAGTCTTGGATTCTGGATTCCAAGCCATGGGTTCCGGATTCCAGTTAATGGACTCCACACCTTTTTCAGGGGAACTTGGATTTCAGATTCCAATTTTTAGTGGGATTCTGGATTCCCACAGCTGTATTCCAAATTTCAGGGCCTAGGATTCCGCATTATTTTCATAAGCAAAAATTTCCAAGATTCTGGATTCCACATGCAAAAATTTCCGGGATTCTAGAATCCAGACTCCCTTACATGTACCTGGGGAAACCTCTTACAAGGCAGCAATAGCCCACCAGTAAATGGCCTATCCTGTAACCACTATCCCTATGTTATAAACCTTTTATAATTGATGATTTCTTTAAATTTTGGAACAACATAAACTATTATTATCTTGATAATCTAACAATCACTGTTATATATTCCAAGCACAGATACACAAAATTAATAAATTCATGGCTATCTATAAATAGTTAGAAGTCCTTACCAGGCCTAAACAGGATCTGTTTCCCATGAAGAGAATACTGTCTGAATCCAAAGCAGGTTTTTGGGGTAATGCCTTTACAACCACTATAACACAACAACAAAAATTAACACTTTTTGCAGTTAGTGACTGTCTTTATTTTTAAGAACCATATCATGAAAAGGTGGATAATTATTGTTGTGACAGTAAAGTTTGACCTGCTAAATATAGGAAAGTTCATAGTGATGATCAGGAACAGTTATAATCATCAACTGAGAAGAATAATAATAATTGAAGGGTTTCCAGCAAAAACTAGGGTGTAATTTGCTTAATATTGATACATTAGGTGAATTACACCCTTTTTACCGGAAACCCTTAACTTATTATAACAGCAAATGGGGTATTAATTTAATAATTTTAGATGTTATTTATTGCACCTCTTAATAATTATTATAACAACTTAATTCACTGAGATGAAGATGAAAAAGTAACTTGATTAGGTGATCATTGCCAAACGGTCCTTTAATAGACTGATGTTGCCATTTCTGGTCATTTGCACACAGTTATACCAGTAGTTTAGTTACAAATAAGAGATAATTTTCAGGACAGCAGCTAGCAGGTATAGAAATATGATTGTATGGTAATGTTACATAGCTGATATTCTTACCCATTGATTCAACTATACTGAATATTACACCAAGCTCTACAAGCTGAACATCGTCATCAATGGTTATATCCAGTTCTGGAATTTCTGGAAGGTCCTTTTGAAAAAAAATAATTATATTAGTGTAGGTAGCTCTGGATTCAAGTCCAGCCCTAGCATTGCTTCCTTTGACATTCACAAGAAAGTTTGCTTCAGTTTAATTGTTTCCCCCACCGAAATCAGTCAGTCGAGGTGTGTAAATGAGTACTGGGAACCTACTATACATGAAAAATTTAATTCACTTTAAAAAATACAGAGAGCTGGAACAGGCAGGAAAAAATATATATATAATAAGAAGTAAGGAAAAAAAACATGTGCTTGTGGCAAACCAAAAAATTTAGAAAGCAGAGACTGATCCTACCTACTCTTCTTCACTTTTCTAATGTCTATCCTCATACATTGGCCTTTAAAGTGTATTGATCATTTTTTACATGCTATTATCACTACAGATAACTTTACTCCTGATAAAAGCTACAGTTAACAGCATTGTTTGTCCAAAAACAGTTTTCACTTCTGTTATACACTATGTATGTACACCCCCTATGTTGGGTTAAAACAAAATTTTATTATGCAGACAATCAAACACTTTAGTTTTGTACAGTATAAATTGGATCAACGGATGGGGAAACAAAAAGGTAGTCTAACTCCTAAAGGTTGACTAAATATGATTCTAGTCTACACCAGGAAATGTCATATTTCTGCAACAAAGAAGAATTAACAGATGAAACCCAGGCCTACTGTACCTTTGCTAATACTTCACTTTTGGTTCTTGGAGGACCTTTCAGGACTTGTTCTTCTTCTTTCTCTATCTCTCTTCTTATGTCCTCAAGATCATCACTTGGGTAAATATCAAAGTTTGTTGATCAATAGTTTCCTAATAAGTGCCGATTAAGCTGCAAGCGGCCAACTTAAAATTTCGCTATAAATGATAAGTTTCTCTTGAGAAAGTTTACGTCTAATGAAAATTACACACTTTACCAACAATGGATTATTCCATTACTCCCAGGTTAGGTTAGGACACAGCAGTTTTGTCACATACAAGGTAAGTGCCACAAATGCATTTTTTAGCTCTCATTTTATAGATTTTGATGGAAACTGGAAATGAAAGGATTAGCAAGTCAATCACAGCAGCACAAGCTCAGTTGGTAGGCTAGCTTTATTGCATAGTTGGAGGTCATGGGTTTGATTCCTGGGACCATCCCAATACTATACGCGAGGGTCTTAAAAATAATGGAGAAATCAAGGTACTGCTTTAACCCTTTAAGTCCCAATATCCACGTACAAATTCTCCAAACTGATCTCCATACATTTACTTCATGAATGAGTTGAGAGAATTTGATAAAAGATCGGGCATTTTCCCTTAGGTGATCATTTTATTAATTCTCATAACCTAATCGCTTGACATTGTATGGATATCGTTAGGAGAAAATTGATGTTAGTCACTATATTGGAACTTAAAGGGTTAATAAACTGCAAACAGCAAGACCCTTGCATGGCTTGTATGACCCTGTAAAATTGGGGTGGGCCGGAAGCTCTAAGAATGGCTCACTGAGGATTGGTTTAGAAAACAATATATAGCCCTAACCCAAACAAAACTAACAATGAACCCCAACTCTAAAACAATAGAGCTTTGGGCCAACAAGAACCTATCAAATTAGAGGTTCTAAAGAGGTTCTGGCCAACAGTAAAATTGCAGCCCTGTCTCCAGTAGCAGATGTAAATTAATCATTACCCTGTGTTACATAAAGGACATTCGTTTTGGTTGTTTATTATTTGTTGGTTTGTTTTTTTTTTTAAATAATTCTTACTTACTCAGAACTTGTGGAGCTTTCACTTGATGAGCTTTCATCAGCAGAATCTGAAGAACTGTCACTAGAGGAAGAGTCAGTCTCTGTAGTATCCTGTATTTGATCTCCAGTTCCTTTATCATGGATTCTGTCTAGTTCATGGTCAATAGTGTCCATAGCATAGACCTGATCTACACTTCCTATTGATGAAGCTGTGTTCGAGAATGCATTACCTGTCTCTAATTTCACATTTTCAACATTAACAGGGCTTCCACTTGTGACTCCAGTATTCAGTGGCTCGTTGGTTATATCCTCAATATGAACTTGCACTGTTGTCATATTTTCAGTATAGGACTCAGCACCAATGTTAAGATGCTCTGGGAGAATATGTTTAGTATTCGCGGGTTTGTTGGCTAGGCCTACAACATTACGATGCTCATTTGTTGTATTCCCCATATGGACAGGCTCTGTGACTTTGTTTGCAATGTTACCATAATCTGTGATAGTATATCCAACTTTCACAGGCTCTCTGTATGTGCTTGTAGTATTGACAGGTTCTGTCACTATGTTTCCAATACCAACAGGCTCTTTTAATACATTACCAATATTGTTAAGCTGTAGGACGGAATGTCCAACACCATTATCCTCTTGGACACTCTCAGAAGTATTAGCAGCCATTGCGGTACATGTACCAGTATTGACAAGCTCTGACACCACGTTTTCAGTACTAACAAGTTCTTTTACTTTGTTACCAATATTGTTAGACTCCACAACCGGATGCCCAACAACTTCAGTCTCTTGAACACTCTCAGAACTATCGCCAGCCATTGATGTACCAATATTGAAAGGTTCAGAATGTGCAATTTCATGGTTTTCTGGTGCTATTTCATTGATCTCCCTTTCAAGTGTTTTAATCTGTGATGTGACTTCTATTATACTTCCACTGCTAAATTCACTTTCCTGTTTCTTCAAAGATGCATCATTTTTAGGGGCACAAACGATGACTTTTTCACATGCGTCTACATTATTATTGTTTTCCACTACTTTGTGGTCTTCAAGGTTCTTAATAGAAGCATCTGTGCAACGCATGGTGTTTGTGGAATTTTCTACAACGGTTTTATTATCTAACTCTTCTTTCCAACATTCAACGCCAGTTGAAGATTTTTTGAAATTACCCAATTCTGTAGAACTTTCGGCAGATGTTTCATCGTCTTCTTTGTAACTGTATGCAATCGCAGCCAGACCAGTAAGTCTATTAACATTCTGTTGTGTAAAATTTGAAGACTTTGAACTAAATATGTGCGCTTTCCCCCCCGTTAAAACTGTGTCACTTCTGAAGGCTTGCATTTCACTGACTCCTGCTGTATCCATAGCTTCTGTAGTCACAGTGCACGATTCATTCGAGACAGCTTGATCAGGATAATTTTGAGGTGTTCTCTCTTGCTGAGATCCAGAAAAGATGGTTTGGTCATTCTGTATAAGGTGGCTTTTTCCTTCCATTTGGCTTCAAGGAAACCAAATTTTCCACATCAATTCAGTTGCGGAATACAGTTTCGGCACTCAATTTATCGAAGCAAATCGTACGCAAGTTCGACTGTTTTTCAAATGAATAGTTTAGAGAGTTTCAAATCGTTACATTTCTGCTAAGTTTGTCCGCCATGTTTTTGCTCTGCACGTGTTGCGTACACTTATGATCGCAGGCGCAAAACGAAATACCCAAAATGCAACGCGCCCCTTGTTCTCGTTCTCTTCCAAAATCACCAACAAGTTGAAAGTAAGAGAATTTCTCGTTACACTTTAGAATCCGAATTAATCTTCTAAAACTTTAACATTGCAATAGTGTTGACAATCAGGAATGGATAGAAGAATGTTTTGGCCAATCATTGATGCAATTTTTATTGCAGATGGCGCAACGACTGACCTACAGACGTCGTCTCTCCTACAACACTAAATCCAACAGAAAAAGGATGTGAGTTGTAATTGGTTGCTTTGCAAAATATACATGTGCTCTGTGGATTAAAAAATGTTAAATTGAATAGCTTGTAATAATTTTCTTTTTCTTTTTTCCTTGCACAGTTCAAAGACACCAGGTAAGTTTTATTTTGAAGTTGAAAATCATCCATGCAACAATTCTTCATTAAGCACTTATTGTACCTGCTAAAATGAGGGTAAGATTTCCATGTAAATCCCAGACATGTAATAAGCATGTAGCAGTTTCATACTGTTTCACACAAATAATCGATACGAATAGAGTGGAAACATGCATTCTTAAATGAATGGGGGTTATATGGAAATCTTACAATAAGTGCTAACCATATGCATTTTGAGTCTGGGCAACCCTTTTTGTTGTGCACAGTCTTGGTGTTTTTTTTTGTTTTGTTTTTTTTACCTTTTGAGCTGAACTTCACATTTAAAAAATGAAATTAAAAATTCTTCCCACCTGGCCTTTGTCATTCAGACATTATATAGCGATATCCACAGGATAGATCACTATCCAGTGGGTAAATATTGGAAAACCGATAATAATTGCAATCATAATCTCCATGTTGTTATTACACATGCATCGCATGTATGTAGCCAGCATTCGTTTCAACCTCCACAAAGAATTAATGGAATGCACAGAATGCAATTTTTCAGAATGCAATTTGATCACGCGCATTTCAAACTTCTACCCCTCGTAGTCACGCATGCTTTGACCATCTGTTGGGTCAAACCTGCGCACAGTGTTGGAGCAAAATTTGATCGTTGTCGTGCGCACTCTTTAACCTTTGGTTATTACTAGTATTTTATTGTCCACTGGATAGAGATTTATCCAATGGATAGTTATCCCTCTTTTGAACAACTGGGGCCAGGTTTTTAGGTAAAAGGAATAATAAATTAATACGGATTTTCTAACAATCTGTAGCACAATAAGGGTAATGTTGTACGCTCTTAGCAGATTACAGACTGAAGAGTGCATCTTTGAGATTAACAATCTTTATATTCGAGTGGAAGTATAGTTTCAGAAATTTTAGGCAGTTATATGCCCAAAACTCTTGCTTGTTATAGTTACTAAGAGGAGCTTACCAAGGGATGGGATTGGTAATCATCAGCACTTGGCTTGAATAGCTGGACTTCACTGTGAGGCTATCATTTAGCATAAAAACAAAATGTTTCAAATGTCTAATCAAGCAGTCAAAAATTTAAAAATGAGTTTGAACTTACTGAAACCAGTGATTTCCCTCAACTAATAAAATAATGTTTTTGTCACCTTCAAAGGGGGAAAGTTGGTATACCTGTACACCAAAAAGCCGGGCAAGGTACCAAGATGTGGTGGCTGTAAAACTAAACTCCAGGGGGTGAGTGTATTATTGAAGTCTCTAAATGAACCAACTCAGGTGTTTTCTTAAATTTTGATCTCCATGGAAGTGAAAATCACCACAAAAGCAGCTAGACTTGAGCCCTTTCATAATTAAACATTGAAGGGCTTGGGAAATGGCAGACTCACACAACTTTTCACTCCATTTTAATCATATTGGGCAGCGTAAAGAGTCTGTCTACCCACTCCCCTTTAACAAATATATCCTCACCCCTCTCAGATAATGTTATTATTTGTTTTTGAAGCTCTGTGTTAACTACTTTAGTATATCCAAGAATGTTGTTCCAACTTTGTTTGGGGAGAGGGGGAAGAGACATGTTGTGTCTCAAATAATGTGGTTGTTAAGACCTGAGCTGGGAAGATGCACTTGTGCAACCTGCAATAAACAAGTTCATTTTGCTTCTACATGTGCTGAAGCTTTGCTTCAATATGTGACTGGGCTGTCATTAAGACTTCAAGTTGCTTGGCAAGTGCAACCACTAGACGGGAAATAAAACTGCTAGGGATTTCTCTTGGTTTGATTTTCTCCTATTTTCCTATGAAAGTAGCCAGGGCTTGTATGTTCCTTATAGCCAGGGAAAATCTCTGGCCTCTGTCCTTCAGTGACAGCACTGACAAGTGTTGATGGTCGTAGACCACACAATAAGAAGCTCCCCTGAAAGAAATTTGATGGTTCATCTTTTATGTCTGCATGCGCACTCAATGGTCATGCAACTCATTTCTCCACTTGTAAATCATTCTCTGCCCTCTTGAAAGTAGGTTACATTAATAATAATAATAATGTCTGTTTTCTCAAAAGAAAGAAAGCACTTGTGCTGTACCAAATGGGATAGACAATTTTCTCAAATTGACATCTAATCCATTGATGTTCACAGTGTGCCATTGAAATGTTACGGAAACATTTCTTTTTATGTAACCTTACAATAAATAACGTACATGTCGTCAGGGCTCCATTTAAACTAGCTCTTCTAAATTGGATGCCCCTGGATAAATATTGAATAAAGAAAAAAAATTAAAAAAACATGTACATGTAAAGAGCTCTGCTAATTTTCTTACTCCATCAGCTTATTGTGTCAATATGGCACCAAAGATAAGAAAATAACTTTCCCATCCAAACTATCACATTAAATTGTTATTCTTGGAAAGTTTTCTTACAGTGAGAAAAGGGCATTTCTAAAGGAACACTGTCATGACACACTTTCAAGTGTGACATGCTGTGCACATTAATTCATGTGTATATTATTTGGTAGCCTGCGATCATGCCCTCTCCCTTTATCTCTGTACTCTGTTTTCGGGAGGAGGGCATGATACATTTCTTTCACAGATCACATGCAAAAAAGCCAGAATCTGGACTTTTTTCTGATTGAATAGGAAACAATACGGATGATTTGCGCTGTTCCGATTGGCCAAAACGCCGCCATCCGTTAGTTGTTGTTGATTTCAGTCTGCATTTTGGCTTGCGCAATGAGCAGTGAATACACACGCGAGTTCGTCATGAAATTTCTGCCGGCTCAGTTTTCTTGCCAGTTTTAAAAATGTCTGAATAGAAATTTCATCCAATGAAATATTTTCCATTTCATCGTACACTAAAAATTGCAGTCAAAAATTCACCGATCATTTGAATGCAATTTGATACCGGCTACAAGTTACAGAAGCAAAAAACGGGTTCACTTTTCCAATAATTAATTCATGAATGGAATCTTGACCTGGTTTGACTGTAATTACTGTCATTCCTCCTTCGGAAACGTGCGAATTATTCTGAATTATTATGCTTTCTGTTAATAACTAAAATGATTTGAGCAGCTGTAAGACTAAACGTAACAAAGTTAAGAATCCCTACCGCCAGGATGCCAACCACTTTGTTATCAACACATGTGGCTGAGGAGTTGAACTCAAGACTACCAAGAACCAATGCATCTAGCAGTTAGGGTGGGAGTTAAACTCAGGGCCTCCTGATTCTAATTCCAGCACTTTAACTGCCAACCACACTGCCTCCTGCCCAAAATCTATGTTTAGTGGAACTCCACATGCATGCGAGTGGAGCCCCAAGCCTAAAAAAATTGGTAATCTATCCATCCGAGAAATTGTGGTAATCAGGTGACCGTTGGATTATGAGCAGTCTCTCTTTTTGCTTGGTACATTGAGCAAAACGCACGAGACGTGCAAATGACCACATGCATGACTGAAGGCGCAAGACGGGAGAGGCACAAAAAATAGAGAATGGTCTCTCACAGTCTAGTGATTTTTTAAAAACTGAGTGTTGATTTAATCGCACTGCATAGAGCGATTAAATTGACTGAGAAAATCTTAATTTTTGGCTTCTAGTCTCACATTTAGAGATCACAAAGCTGGTCTATTTCTCGCATATTCATAAACTAATATCCTGTGGTTTATGTTTTGAATTAGATCACCCGAGACCTAGTTCCTTTCGTGTTTGCGGAGAGTTCTCATGGCATAGTGTTCTACATAACCTAATTGTAGCTTAACTAAAGCTAAGCTAATTATAGAGAATTGTGCTGCAAGTCACTCAAGATCATTTTTTGGTCGCCCCTTTTTTTTTTTCTTGACATTCAGTGTAACCAAATCAGTGTTCTATAGCGTGATGTCCTGTAGTGCATGGGTTGGTAATTACTTTTGTCATAGAGTATCCTGGTCTATGCAACTTTCTGTTATGCATTCTAAAGCAAGATTGCAGTTTTCAAACTAAAGCATTCCTCGTCAATGAAGAGAGGCTTACTAAATCTGAAGAAAAAGAGAGACTACTTGCAGTCTACATGACCGTACGCCCATCCACCTGTCCCTCTGCATCACAGGGAAACCAAATTATGTGAAAAGTCAAATTTTCCAGCCAGAGTAGGAGCCTGTAACCTGTGTTTAACCTGATAACAGACGTCCCTATTAAGGTCAATTGACAGGTGTCAAAACGGGTTATCTGCTGACCACCAGTTGTTAGCTTTCAATTGATTGCATGCTCAAGTTTATGTTTTTCATTCATATGGTTTTCCTGTAAAGTTAAGTATGGATTTGTGGTCTTTGCAATCGTTTAAAGTCCATTGTCTGCAGTACAAATTTAAAATGCATAAACGAGAGCTTCACTTTTAGCTCTGGTTTGACCTTAGACTTGCCCACAAGCTGAGCTCGAAATTTCTTGAGCTCAAAGTGCCAGCTAGAACTATGTCAAAGTAAAAGCATTTCAGTAATATCTTTTCTGCGTGGAAAATTGGGCTCTTGCTAGTCTCACGCGGAAGGAACGCCCACTAAAACTTTAGTGTGCATTGCTCTTCCCTACAATGTTTATTAACAATGCAGTGAATCAGTAAAGAATCCTCTCCAAAGGAGGTGACTGTTTACAGGTGCAGGGAAAACGAAAACTTGCTTTTTTTAAAGATCTGGAATTTCTTGTCAGTCATGTATTTATTCAGCCAGAAAAGCAATCACAAATAATTTGCCGAATCTGTGCTGATTGGAACAAAAAACTTGCAAAAAAGAGTTGTAAAATTTGGAGAAAATTTGTTACCATGTACGTGCTCAACCGTCAGCTGCCAGTGAAGATCAAATCGAAGGATCAACATCTAAGGCTAAGAGACATGCTATAAGTGGTACAGCAATGAAACAAATGGGCAAAATTTCATCTCTTTCCCCAGACTGTAATAAATCGAAAACATAAGGGGCAATTTGAAATGTCAACTCTTGCCTGAGTTGCTCTCTGCTGGCACAGACAAAAACACATCCTCTTGTTCGTGAGCATCTTTGTAGTTTAATAGCTTTCCATATCTCATATGTGATCACATCCTTGATAGAACACAAGGCACTCGGCTTTGTATCATAGAGGAGACGTTTAACATGAAATTAATAAACAAATTAATACAACCTGCCAAAAGTGTAGAACTGCTGCAATTAAGACAGCAATCGTCTACACTTGAATTTTGATCAAAACAGCTCAAATCATGTTTCATGCAACATGATCAGGGTTGATTGACGGCGCATCAGTAAAAACGTTCGTGATTGGATAAGATCTACGGGGGAAAATTCCTCCTGTAAATTTGGCATGCTGCAGGGGATAACAGTCCTTAGCGCTGGGGCCTACTGCCGGAACCAGAAATGAGAAGCGAAGGACTTTGGAAAAGTCTAGCTGAATCTATATATTAGCTGTTGTCTCTGTTGCTGAAGTACAGCAAGATAAGGCAAAAGCAGGTGACATAATTTCAAGGTAGTTTGGGGGTATAAAAGTGACACTGTTCACTCATTTTTTTTTCCTCCCCCTCAACTTGTAAATGAGCATTCCCCCTCCCCCCTCTTTCACTTTTCTTTTCTTTTGTTGTGGGAAAATGTATGTGAGAACCCTGAGCAGAGCTGGCCAAGCAAATAATAGCTCGGTCATATAGAATATTAAAGACCAAAATATGGCCTAGTATGCTTAAAAACTCGGGGCTTTGCGAATCTTTCTTTCCCTTTTATAAACCAATTTCTAGTGTTGTTATTGCCAACCAGTGGAAATGACTGGCCAACTGAAAGTTTGTCCAGACAAATGGTCATCTTCGCTGGACATTGTCCGTTCACCAGCCGTTATTTTGAGCAGCGCTGAGTATTATGAAATATTTTGGAAGGTGGCGTGGATGTGTCAGTGATACTGTTATAATTCATGTTTCTGATTTGTACTGCAGTTACCAGCTGTCCGTCCTAAAAAGCTGATGCACATGTCAAAGCCCCAGAAGACTGTTAGCAGAGCTTATGGTGGTTCACAATGTGCTCGCTGTGTTAGAGAAAGGTGAGCAGGTGCTGTAGGCTTTTGCATCCTACAGCATTAAAATGGTGGCCTAAAAAGAATCGAGGCGTGGTAACTATTTAAAATTTCTCTGTTTGTTAATTTACAAATCAACCAAAAGCTTGGTAACAGACATTGTTACCTGTTGTACCCTATACCAAACCCCTACAACGGCTGAGATAAAAAATTAACTACAACATAATGTAAATGAATGAGATGATGCATTGCACATGCATAAGATAATTGCACAAGTTGGGTTTGCATGAAGCACCACCCAAAGAGGAATTTAAAGAATATTATGGTATTTTCTTCTTTACTCAATAGTCCAGTTTCGAATTAAAAAATTATCGCTGAGTATAAACATTAACGACACATTCATACCGGGTTAGCCTCGACGTAAAGTAAAATACTCAGAAATTCTGGCAAGCAAGTGTTTGAAATTTGAATATAAACAAAAGACAGAGTAATAAACAGGTCTTTTTCTCGTTGGAATTTGTGAATAGGTGGTTTTCACGCAATCTCGGGAGACACAAACAACAATGGTGAAATGAACAAATGCTGGTGGACAAACAAAGCAAGCTAATGAGTGATCTTTTGTTTACCGTCCACCAGCATAGCGGCGATGACGTAACGTGAAAACCACCTATATATTACTTCAGACTGAGGGTAAGGCTGTAAAAAATGCGTCTTCACTTCTTTAATTCAGCGGTCATAGCGAACTCGAAAATGGACTATTGAAAACCCTTTTAAGAACGAGACAAAAAACTTTCATGTATCGGAATTGATTGAGGTCGTTCCCCTTTTTTTTCAGGATAGTCAGGGCATTCCTGATTGAAGAACAGAAGATCGTTGTGCGTGTTCTTAAAGCGCAACAGGGGAAGAAATCAGGCTCTGCTTAATAAAGGAAATAAATGTTTCATTGTACGTATAATGTCTGATTGTTTTTAACCCCTGTTTAAACTTCCCTTTTATGTAGTTAGCATTCAGTCTCCTTCGCAGCCGTTATTAGGGTCGTCACTCGTCACGCAACGCTCCTCCCCACAGTGAGGAGCGTTGCGTGACAAGTGACGACCCTAATAACGGCTGCGAAGGAGACTAGTTAGCATTAGGCTGGCCTGCAATCGTTCTTTCTGCTTTTTCTAACCTGAGCTGGCCTTTCCTTTTAAACATTGCTGTGACCGTTCAACAGCAAAGCAGAGTAGTGTTTCACCAATCACACATCCTCCCTCCCCCCCCCCCCCCCCCCCCCGCACACACACACGCACACACCCAGAAACCCCCACATTGTGTGAATATCAAGGGTTGGCTCAATTCATTGTCAGCCATTAGATCGGGAGGGGCGTTGCGATTATATTCACAAGCAAACATGTAACAAGCATGCCACTGCCAGGGAACAACAGCGCTTGTGTTTCTTTCTAGCGAGGGGATAAGCATCTGTTGTTCTCTCAGAACATATCTCAGAATGCGTTTCCTATTTTGCTCTTCCCGGTTTGCTAGACGTGTGATAGAGTAGAAACAACGATAAAGCCACGTCAGAGAAACTCTGGAACTGAAAATTTTACGTTCGATTTACTTTAGCCGACTACAAAAGGGAAATGGCTTGTTCTATTTCAGGGGCACCCAACGAGGATATAGTTCAAAACCACTTAACATAGCATTGTTAAACGTATTTTAGTATTCAAACGGTAGATATAGGCATATTTTTATCCCCTAAAAACTTTTTATCTGTTCGGATTTCCTAGCTGAAAATCTAGTGATCCGAAAATTATAGGGATAAAAACTTACCTTCTTGAAAATTTCAGCCAGGAAAAGGCTCCCGAAAATTCTAGGTGGTTTTCTTTAGGATCAAAATCCCGTTAAAAATGAGTAATTATACCATTTTGTAGATGTTCGAAAATCCTAGGAGAGGCAGGCAAGCAAGAAATTTTACAACAAATGCTCCGAAAATTCTAGATCTCAAATCGTTTTCCGAACAGATATTTTCCCGAAAATTGCCGTTGGGTGCCCCTGCTATTTGCTTTCTTTGTTTCGTGTGAAAAGCATGGTACTCACAAAAAGTGGAACAAGTTGTTTATATATCATTGACACAGCTGAAAAACTGACTTCTCACAACGCCACCACCAGTTCTTTTACATGAATAATAAATTAACCGTCGATATTAGACAAGTTTAATCTCGTCGATGATCACTAGAGAATGAATCCATCGGAGGCAAAAGTTTTCAGCTCTGGCATTGCGAGCATGTTATCCTCAAAAAGGTGAAGCGATATTTCATACAATAGACTTAACCAAATGGATGATTCTACCGGTTTTGTGGAGTTCTCCAACGTTCATTTTCAGAAAGACGACGCCTCATTGTGTGCTAAGCTCTGCTTTGGTTTGTTAGCGTTGATGTTACTGACAGCAACTGTGGGTATATCGATCCTTCTACTGAACTTGAAACATTTTGCGGTCGATGTTCACTTGAAGAAGGGAAAGGTACACGTGTATAGATTTGAACAAGAATGTACGATCACTGGCAACGGGAACGCCATCAGAAGCATGTCTATTGATCTGACCATGCATGTGATTAACATCACTGAGACCGACTATTGGTTTGGAATAGTTTTAAGTTTTCCTAAAGAAACGCGTAATTCTCCTTCTACCAAGGATTACGTGTTTTTGACGCGAGTTATAAGCTCGGAAATTGACGATTTTCAGGACGGGACGCAAAACCGTTTCGAGGTTTTCGGTGCCGGAAAAACTGACAAAGAACTTTCATTTTACGTTCATAACATTTTACACCAGCTTCTCCCCGCTGTTAAAGTCAAACTCTACGAATTTGTCTTGAGCAAGGTGTCGAGTTCTTCCAGACATACTGTCATGGAAAAACAAGGATTCTTACCCGGTCGTGTTCACGTGAAGCGCGCTCTGATCACCAATGGTGATTTTTTGACTGTCATGGCTAAAGCCGGTCCAGGTGACTTTCAAAGCTTTGCCGATGAAGAAACCGAATCTCCATCAGCCTCGTGGACGTTATCTTACGATGAAACTGCTGTTGTTAACAAAAAAACTGGAATGGTTAAGAGAAGTGAGATGTCTCTCTCGGGTGAATTACCGATTGGCGCGGACTTCACGCCATCGGGACGCAAATCTCCTAATACTAAGAGCTTAGCTGTAGCATTTAAAAGCACTGCTACAATGCTTGACGAGTCGCAAGTGAAACCTAATCCTTGGAAGACTGTGGTAAAAGATGAAAACGAACTCATTCACCCGCTGTTTTTTCCTGCCGGTGAAAAGCCTTCATTGATGTATTTTGCGCCAGCTAAGAGCAAATCCAATGATCCGCTTGCACACGATGATGTGATGGAGCTTTTGAAACTTAGCAAAAACCCGGCTGGAAGATCTACGAAACTGCCTCCCATGATCAAGATTTTGCGTCATAGAATTTCAAAGTCATGGAACGTCTTTCGATCAGACGCAGATGGGGACATGAGGAAAGACGATTTGACAAATTATGAAAATGAGGATGAAGGAGATGATAAAGATGATGTTGATGATGATGATGATGATGATGATGATGATTATAACGATGACGATTATGATAATGTTGACGATAATGGCAATCAACCCTCATGGCCTATACCCAACTTTGCTCCGTTTGGGTTTGGCTACGAATTTAAAAGAAGGAGGTCTGTAGAAACTCGGAGATCACTGAAAAGGGCTAGGTCTAAAGCTACCGAACAATCTCGACTACGGAGGAAAGAATCTGAACTAAACACCATTTGGGATGAACTCGCATCCTCTTCGCCGCGAGCTAATCATGAACCTCCTCGGGTCATCCAAACGTCATTCATGACTTTAGACTTTAGATCGGAGATTGACTATGAGGTTAATGTGGATAAAGACTATGATGATGACGATGATATTGAAGAACGCGACAAAAATAGTAACGATGGAGACTGGGATGTAACGACTGCTTATCGGATCATGATTGGACGATACAGTATAACACCGTTGAGGAAAACGCACACGCTGGATAAGCTACGAGGAGAGCTGGCACACAAAGGAAAGCGAAGGTTCATTCACTGGAGACTAAACGCGGGAGACTTTGTAAGTAAATATTTTCGTGACTGATAATTCTCTAATGAAACAATAATGACCGATGATCCCCACTCCAACTTCCAGTTCTCTGGATATGAAAATGATCTCTCTTTCCATTGGCAGGTACAACTTCTCAATTGATCAATTACTTCTTGAGAGATTTTTTAAAAGCTTTCGTTGAGGAGGGTTTATGGTTTCTTATCTTAATTCAGTTTTCGATGTTGTTCGTTTTCTTCTCATGTGAATTAACACGGTTAACACCACTTCTCAACCACTAATAATTCATAAAGAAAATACAAAGGAAATTAATGTTTAATGAGTGTTTGGAAATCAGATGGAAAACTAGTCATTTTTTTGCATCCTTAATTTCTCCTTCTAAAATCATTTTGTTCGAGAAGTAATATCAAGCATTCGACACAGTCTTTCATCAACAGATGAAACACTGCATCTAATGCTTGATATATTACATAATAAGTTTCAGATTATCGCTTTGGTATGATCCGCCCCATATTACCAAGCGCGTCGTGAAAGAGTCAGTAGAGACTCCTTCGTTCTCTTGTTCTCTTCAGAGACGTCACACGGATTTTCGGATCCTTATCCGGAAACTACTTTATGTGTTTTCAGGTAACATGCATTCCTCTGTTCTTTATCCAACGACTCTGCGCTGCAACTCGCCTAAAATTCGACGTGACCATTACTTACGGCCTGCCCCGTCTGTCCCTGTCATATCCTGTGGAGGTGACTGTCCACATCAAACACGCAGTCACTACTAACGCCACATTTTCTGCGCATGCGTCCACGTGGTTCCTTGAGAGTGGTGTTTACACGACAGGTAAGACAGTAATAGGTTCTTTCACTGATAAACGGATGCAAGAAAAAAAGCGCCTAGAAGCACTGGGGCAAGAAAAACAAAGTCGGATTGCATCATTTAAAATGATAATTTCTTTTTAAAGCCCCCATGACATTGTTCGCTATCCAACAAGGTGTTTTTGTATGGACCATCTGGCCATGGAGCTGTAAAGGGCTCATAAGATGTTGTGAGGCGAAGAGACGGATGACATTTCAGACTAAATAGATGTTGTTTATGTAGCTGTTGCTCTTTAGTTCTCTCTCCTCCGCCGAGGCTCAAAGGGGCAAGGCGAGAATGAGCGGGCGCAAAATTTGTTTGGTAGCGATTTTCCCGCCAAAGAAAAGCCTATACGGAGAAGGCATTGTTCGATTGGCCAATCGTATTGCAGTATGACGTCAAAGCAAAGTATCGGTTGATTTATAGAAAGTTCTCGGGCATGTTGTGTCCCTTCGCTAAGCCAATCAAATCGCTATGTTTCCGTTCGTTTTTGTTTCTGTTTTGTTCGCGCGTTTTCATTTCAAGGTCATACGAAAATCGCTCTAACGCCTCATTGAACCTCTGCAGAGGAGAGAGAGCGTTCTAAGGGCCTGTTTTCGTGGGGGTGGGGGGACCCTAGGTAGGTGAGGTAACTCGCTTTGGTGGGATAACCCGCCTATCCAGTGCAGAGACAATTTTTTCCATATGATCTTTCATTTTAATTTGATCACGTTTACATGATAGGTGGGGTGACCCGCGCATGTTACCTCACCTATCTGGGGTCCCCCGCTGCCATGCAAACAGGCCTTAATTGTCTCTGCACACGGCGAGACAAAACAGAATGATGTCATTTTGTCAGGCTGGGAGTTTATTCCTCTTTCGTTATTTAAGCATATAAACGCTAATGTCAACGATAAAGTCGACTTCCAAGCCATGCTAAGGGTTTGTGCCATGGAGTATTTCGAGCAAATCGCTTGGTCAAAAATTGTGTCAGTGGTGATCACAGAACCAAAAACAGTCCTGTGAAAGTTGCCGGTGAGGCGTTGTTGAGAACGCTGGCTAACTCTCGTTACTTCACTTTTCACCAGGCTTATAAGCACCAAGGAATTTGGAAAAAATATAATACAGTCGAACCTCCCGTAAGCAACCACCCAAAATTTAGTGGTCGCTGACGGGAATCGAAGAACGGCTAAACTTTTTCTAGTACAAAGTAGAGGTCCCGACACTTCTAGTTTTTAGGAAAAGAATTTATTGCACGCAATTTCAAAGATACGATATCTGTAGTTCCGTCCCGTCATTTTAAGTTTCTAGTATATTCTACGTTGTGGTGTACAAACAGCAAATAGACATCACACCATGCGTCAAGCGGTCGCTTATAAGGGTTTTAAAACAATGGGAAATTCTAAAACGTTCACAACGAAAAGTGGTCGCAATCGATTATTAGAAGTTAATTTGAACTATGTCGGCCTTTGACTTGGAAAATAGCATGGGTGGATCAGAAAATTCGGGTCAGCTAAATAGATACTTTTTCTGTTAATGAGAGTTCTTTTAAAATGAACTCTCAATCCGCCCATGACTAATATTTTGGATAGGTGGTCGCTTTCAAGAGAAAATCACACATGAGGTTTCGACTGTACATAATTGCTTAAACTTCAGTTTTAATTGGAACATGGAATCAACTCTCGCTGAAGTAATTCATTTGTTTCTCTGACAGGGACCGTTGCCATGGCTACCCTGCCTGTTAGGTTATCGTTCAAAGAAGAAGCAAACCCTGAATGGTGCGTGACAGGTCATCTTGAACAGAAAATGGTGCGAATAAATAGCGTACCTTTGTCGCCTTGGAACTGTTCTCTGGGTCATAAACAGTGGGAAAGAACGTGCACCGGGTTACCGAAGTATTTTAACATCTCTCCGGCGAGTTTTGACTCGCAACACAGCTTAAATGAAGGCACCATATTTGATAACTGGCATTACCCAGTTAGCTGTTCACATAGAAATGGCTATTGATGGATAGCATTTGTAACGCAAGGTTGCAGAAGGCAGATAGATTGACAAATGTTATGCTATTGCATAAAGCTTGGCACGCCTGGGCTTGCGCAGTACACAAGCTTTCCCTGAAGTGTAAGCAAACATGTACTAGCCTGACCAGGTGCTTTCGTGGTTGTGTTCACTTTAGGGAGCTTAAGCACCCACGATTTTTGAGCGACGCACGTTAACCGGAAGAGAGACCTTTTCGCTTTTAACATGCCTAAACGCTACCAAAATTGTATTGCTAACTGTCTTTACTGTTATAGAAAGGATTTGCCCGCAAATTTGGGTAAACCCATTGCCCAAGAATGCAAAATGTCCACTTCTGGCTGAAAAACGTCTTTGCTTAAGCTGCTTTTTATCGTCGGGGCCCGTTAAGGTAAGGTTTAAATAACAATTAGCGGGACCAGGATTTATGAGCCCGCGAGACTGAGCACCCCACCCAAACCCTTGTTGTCGCTAAAACCGCTGGAAGCCAACGTGGTTGAGGTCATTGTTATCTGAGGTCTTCCGAGGTTTGCGGCTGCTCTTACTACAACTTCGTTCCCAGGCCCTAAATGGCACGAACTCGGAATACTTTGGGGTCTTAAAAAGGTGATCGACTAAGAAAGGTGGTTGTACATGGATGGCGACAGTCTCCTTACGGAGATTATTAATCCTTAGGGGCTCAACGGAGGGATTTGTATCATGTTGTAGTAATCTTCGGACCGCTCGTAAATTCTGCTTGAATCAGTTCTGCTTGGTACGTGAAAAGTTTTCGACCGTTTAGGGCCTTTGAATTGAACCTGGGCCTAACTCTTACTTTTATTATGTTTGTGGAAGAAAACAAGCAAGTAAGCAGAAAATCAAACAAACAAACAAATAGATCAAAAAATATTTGATGTCCAGTTTTGCTTTGCTTTTATATTATAGAATTGTCTACTTAAGTGGCAAAATTGTTTGGCCCGAGGCAATTTGTCGAAAGTAAAATATACGTCGTCGAATCTTGCCAAGTCTGATAATCTCGTTATTTTTCCCGTGGTGTCTCATCAATAACTACAGAAAAAATTTGATCACTTCAACGTTTATTAAATGCACGACTACAAAATCATTACACTGACATAGAAGAATTGTTTGTAAAACAGATCTTGTTGCTTTTGTTGGCCGTGAATTCTGACTTCATCAAGCAGAAAAAAAAAAGAGAGTCAATCATTCGCAAAAAGTGGTGATGTGAGTGTCCCAAAAACAACGCGCAAAATCAAACTTTCAAGTGAATCTTAGCACATGACCATCAGAACCACGGGCAAAAGCACAAGACCTTTATGTAATTTATTGATACATCGCTGCTATGGAAATTTTTTTCTATTCTACTAAGAAATTCTCTAAATACTCCTGTCTATTTAGAGTTTTGAATGGTCCAAAAATCCTTATCAACTCCACCAGTTTTTTCGCTTGAAAAACATAGCCAATTTAAACCAAAGAGTACAAGAATTGCTTTTTTTTTCTCACCTTCTCCTTCCTTTCTCTTCATCACTCCCTCGGTTTATTATCAATGCTACGTTCTGATTGGTTGAGCTACTACTACGCTATATATGTTATGTTACTATTTTCGCTAGTAGCGAAAAGCGCCGTCTTTGAAAACCAAAACAATGGGGGCTGAATCGCGTTTTGCTAGCTAATTAAGTTGTTTTGTCTCGATATCTTTGACCAACTAGATGGACTTTACTAAAACCTTCTGGGACATCCAATTGCGTTTGATGCTTCCACATTTTGAATTCAAATTTTAAACTGTTTAAACCCTGGGTTATCTTTACCCAGCTTTGAACAACTCGGTCCTCCCTCCTGTTGTTTTTTTAGTGTGATTTTTTGAATTTTTTGGTGGTAAAGTCGTCAAACACAAGACACTTGAGTTTTGTATGGTCTTTTTTCTCTCAGTGAAGTGGCTGCAATTTTCGCAAACTGCGTTTTCCAAAATCTAGCTAGATCAGACATTTATAAGAATACAATTAACTTTATATAATAATTAGCTATAAAGTACGACATGTGATAACAAGTGTAAAAGCACGATATCTTTGTAAATACAATAAGTGTTCAGTTTTCTCGTTCTGTTCTATTTAGTAAAAGGAAAATGACATGTGCCTGTTGGCTGATCTTACGCACAAAACTACTCTTTGTACGTAATATTTTTGATAAACTACATTAAACGTTGTTTTAACCTAAAAACCGTTACCCTTCCCCTCCCCCCAACGTGAACGCTATTAAGAGGGTCTGAATGGGGTTTAATGTTTCGTGTTATTTGCCCATAATTTTTAGTGTTTGCTGTTAAATTGGCCAATTTTTTAATGTTTACCGTTTCCGAAGGAAATACTGTTAAGTGTTTGGAGGGTTCTTCGGACATCTTCGGCAATGGTCGGACCTCTTCGTTAGTCTTCGGGAATCGTCGGTAGCCTTCGGAAATCTTCTGAAATAATCCGGAATTGTCGTAAAATGGCCAAAAACTCCTTGATATACTAAACAAAATAATATTGGCCTTTTTTGAGCCGTTTTTGCTTCTTTCTGGAAAAAAATTACTGTTTCAAAGGATTGTTTGCTGTTGGTGTTAAAATGCCTAAAATTTAATTGTTTCATGTCGCCAAACCCAAAAATGAAGTGTTTAGTGTTATCGAGGTACCACCATGCAGATACTCTATTAACTTTGAGTTATATACAACCTCGAGATATAGGGACCCTGGGTCTGAGTTTGATCTTCATCCATTAGGGAGACTGAGCTAGCTTCTTAGTACCTATTTAGCCCTTGCTATTCTATTAATACACAATAACGTAATTACCATTTATACCCACTTTAAGCGGCTTAAATAGGTATCGACACCTTTTTATCCTCCCTTCTCAAACTTATTAGCAGTTGCATTAGTAATTCATAAAGAAAATACAAAGGAAATTAATGTTAAATGAGTGTTTGGAAATCAGATTAAAAAATTTTGCGTTTTTGCATCCTTAATTTCTCCTTCTAAAATCATTTTGTTTGAGAAGTAATATCAAACATTCGACACCAGATGAAACACCTCGAAGTTCGTCAAAAAAATACTCCGTTGCGCGGCGTAATTTCAACTTTCTTCCCCGGCGGGGGCAGGGGGGGGGGTACTTTAGGAATTTCTGGGTGGGGATGTGCCGCTGGGACCCCTTAACCTATACCAGAGCTAGTTCAACTAAATTTTGCTACCCTATACTAGAGTAAACTCCCCAAATCCCCCCTATCCTAGAGTAGCCGTTTTCCTAGTCGAGGTAAAATCTTCAACCAACTGATCAGTTTCCTGAAAAATGATACCCTATTCTAGACCCAAATGTTCTGATTTATATACCCTATCCTAGAGTAAACTGTTTGAAAACGTTACCCTTCACAGCGGCACATACCTATATAGCCCATATATGGCAGTACCCCCCCCCGCTCCCTTCTCAGTGTTTCATCAGGTGATAAAACACTGCGTCTCATGCTTGATATATTACTTGATTGACAATACTTGTAGACTAACTCACTGACTATTTAAATCATTTATCGATCTTTTCAACTCTCAAAGCGTATATTATTCGAGCGGACCCCCCACACCCATATTAGGGTGACTTAAGGGGAGAATGGGAAGAATCCCCACTTTGTGCAACCATCATGCTATCGTTATTTGCTCTCTGTAATTCAGCGCAGTCCCAGTTGAATACATACTAGGTTTCACTTGGGTATGAAATGATAATAGCAGATCTCAGGTATTAGCGTGGCTGATGCTTGGATAACGCACTATCATTTTAATGCATGCACAAGCGGGGCTTCGAACGCGATGATTGACGAGTTTATTGGTCTAAAAAGTATTCGGAGGCCCCCCTCTACAACTTAAAAACCGCTCATGATTTGGCCACTAAAATTACACAGAATAATGTGTTCTTCATTTCCAACATCTAAGCATAACTTGATTCACGGGACGTCACATTGTGTAATTTTTTTTCAGCAGAATCCCAATTCCCCTCAAAGAAGCTAAGGTGAAAAAAAGTAAATGGTAAGGAGTCTAATAATTAGTTGACAAAGTCGCCAAGTTTGGAGGGGGGCCGTCAAAAGCCTCCTGGTCTGAATAAGTTGCCCGAGTATGATCGAGATTGAACCTCATAGAGCACGATGCTTATTCCCGGGCCGGTAACTTATTAAAATAGCTTGTATTGAAATCTTGAAACAAGCATTTTAAACCTGTTTTTACAGCAGATTCAGGCAGCTGAATAAGGGATTCTAAACAAAGGAAACCAAAACAACAACGACTGCAAAACAAAATGCAATTTGAAAAAATTGTTTCGCTGTAACAACTGAGAACGAAGCGAAGCAATATTTCCAAAATGCATTTTGTTTTGTTGTCGTTGTTGTTTCTTTGGTTTCCTTTTTTTTAGAATCCTTTATTCAGTTGTCTGAATCTGCTGTAAGAATAGGTTTAAAATACTTGCCGAGTTGTTTCCAGATTGATACAGGCTATTTAGGTTTACAGGCTCCGGATTTAGCAACACGATCATATACAGTTGGTGTTTTCTTGCACTTAGTTGGATGGGTCAAGATAACTGTACCTCCACCTCGTCGACGTTGAAGAACATACTAGTCCCGGCCAGGGCCTTATCACTATTCTTCACTGAAGCTGGAATAGAGTAGTACTTGTCCAAGACTGCTTTTGAGTATTTGCTACTGTTGGCATCATCAGCAATGATGATGTCATTACCAAACTGTGGACCATCATATAAATTCCATCTAATTGCCTTTCCTATGTATTCTTTCTTCACCTTGCTCACAAACGGTGCCAACCCTTCAGTATTGTTGAGCGAAAAGATAAATGCTTTGGTAGTCTCGCCCCAGCTATTACTGTTTCCTAACAAAACACGAGCTTGAAATAAGATTTCAATTTTTCATATATACATATACTTACACTTGTCTTATTTTAAAATTCCCAATATTTTTTTACCATGAGTGTTTTTCTCTAGGTATTCCATAATATCCCATTTTCACGATGACGTCATTTTTTTTGCAGCAACCAGAATTCGCTTCACTTTTGCTTTCTTATTTAAACGAATAAACATTAAACCCATTGAGATTAAGTAACTGACAATAGGGTTAAATTGTACTACCTCATTACATGACACTTTTTCGCGAATTAAAGTGACGCGAGCAATAAGAGTCGCGAACATACAGTAATGCGAAAATTAAGTGAAAGGATGAGAGGAAGAAGGGAATTACAAGGGATGTAGCTGGTAGTAGACATGACATAGCTTGCGAGGCTTGTTTAAAGTGGGTATCGTGGACAATACCCGCGGACCTTTTTTTGCAGCCCTTTGAGCCTCAGTTTGGTCTAAAAATAAGGGGGCCCGGGCCCCCGGGCCCCTCCCCTACATCCGCCACTGAATCAGGGAGTCAGTTTCTTACCCCATGGAATATCAGTGTATCCGCCAAAGACGTATGTATCCTTCCGTACAATGGTAACAGTGTCGTTCTTTCCATCGCAGCGAGTGTGAAACTGATCAGCCCTCCAGCCGTGCAACGAAGCACGCCAGCACAGCAACCAGTGAGAATTGCCTCCAACCACAGGCTCCAGAAACTTGCCCAAATAACGGACATAGCAATCACTGATGGATAATATCGGCGAGTTCATTAATTCTGCAAAAAAGTACGTAATTGACAAAAATATATAATACACATTCAAACCTCCTTAATACGGGCAAAATTGACAACTCACTGACAATTGGAACTTCTAAGATGTCTTAGATCTCTTTTCTTAGACGTCTGAGGTTGATGCATGCGGTTTTAAAGCGCGTCTGATGTTGTAACGCACTTCACAGACCTGCTAGTCATGTCGGAAGTTTAAGCTGTCCATAGTAGAGATGAGGCGCACTGAAGGTACAGCCAGAATTATTTGATTTTATTATTCTTGGACTGGTCTAAAAGTCTCAGAGAACGCTCCAGTTAAATACGGCCAGCTAACAAGATAAGCGGCGTGCAAACGCTAGAAAGGAAAGGACTATTAGCCAGCTCCTAGAGCTCCATAACCTTGGATAGAATAAAATGAAACACCAAACTGTCCGCCTCCTTAATCTTGTCCCCCTCCGGGGATGGAGCTATGGGAAGGTCAAAACACGCCGTTTTTCTGTCCTTGATTTTAAGGTAGGGAGTCGTTAATGGCTTCTGTCTATTTTGTCCAAGATTGTGGGTCTCACGTTCAAGTACTAAGCGAGAAGCAAAGCCCCCCCCCCCACCCCTTCTTCCCCGAAATCAAAGATGGAACCGAGAGAAGGGCCAAAATACGCCATTTTCAGTCCTTGAATTTGGGGAGGGGGTCATAATCCTCCGTCTCGCTTGTCCAAGGCCCATTTAAGTAGCGTCAGAATGCTGTCTATTATCATATTTCGATGTTGGGAAATTTTGGTGTACTTTCGTTCTTGCGATCTTGAAAGCTAACCCGTTTTTGAATTTCCATATCATTTAAATGTGAATGCCACGTTCTAATGCAAATACACTGCACAAAGAATCTTAACTCCGGGAGATTTGAATTGGGTACATCATTGAGTTAGCCAAATAGGTCTATGGGGACCGCACCCAAGTTAAGGAAGAAACGAACAAATCCGTTGTCGTGTGGGATTAATTCAGGTTGCTGGGAATGTGGGTTTTATTACATGTGCTAAGTCAAACAGCTGTAAATTCAATTTACCTGTACCGTTCGGGCCGTTCCCTGAATAGTTTGCCTTACATGAGCAGCTGAATGACCCTTCAGTGTTGTTGCAGAATTCGTAGGCTTCACAGTTATGTTGTCCTGTTTCACACTCGTTAATGTCTGGAAATCGGTGAATGGAATTGAAATATTTAGGCTTTCTTCAACATTATCACTTGGTCGGCAAAGTTAATTTTATTGGATGATAATTGTGAGGAGTTATTTCTTAAGTTATCGATTTTAGTGAAGTTATCTTATTACTATTTCTATTTCACTTATATCCAGGATTGAACGCAGGCGCAACATTAAAAACTAAAAAATAGTGATTTTCCTTTGTAAACGCCGTGCAAAAAATTCAAAATTTTGAAATTCAGATTTTTTCATTAAACATCGAATCTTAATGTTTTTTTTAGATTTAGCTCTGAATATATCTGACTGATTTTGCTAAAACGTGACTAAAGAAATTTCAGGTGCATTTTAACAATTTGACATCTAAGTCGAATGAAAAACAGTGAAAAGTCACTAGCTAAGGGTCAACAATCACAACTTTATTGCTGGCAACAAGACGGTAAATTTCTCTTTCGAATTCGCTGCAGACTGAAAGGACACCGGTTTGAAACTTCACGAAGTCAGATTACTGAATGAATGTTCGAAAATTTGCGTCATTTAAAATTGGACTCGTTGGAATGTTTCTAGGGACCATTAGCTTATATTACTGCCCGATGTCAGATAAAGGCTTTTAATCGGCCTTTGAATGAGTTTTATTGTTTTAAACTGCCAGGTAGTATAATGAGTTGAGTTTTTTGCAAGCACGGTTTTCAAAAATCCAGGTATATAATTATTACTATAATTATTATTATTATTATTATTGTCATTACTATTATTATTATTACTACTATTAAGCCCTTCTCTCAAATAAGCCCCTTTCTCGAATAACACCTCCCTTTCAGAGGAGAAAGTTATTTAACCCCCCCCCCGCCCCGCCTCTCTAAGCACCCTTCCCTCCTTCCCCTTTTATTTTTGTAACACTTCTCGTGGACAGATCCTCGATCCGGTCTGATTTATTGACATGAACTGCAAAGGACCGCGAACGAATATGCCGCAGAACGTAGGATCTGAAGAGAAGGGATGTTGTTTATAATTGCTGAAGTAAATAAACTATATTGCAAGAAAAAAAAACTTTCAGACAGTAATATCCATTACTATTTTCTTACCATCGAAGAAGATTTTTTTTTTGACCTGTGTAATTTTGCTCAATAAACAGTTCACTTTTCTCACTATTCTCCTATATTAATTTTAAGGAGCAAAAATGTATACGTAAGGACTTAAGACTTTACCCATATGGCATGTTTCTCCTCTCCATTGCGGATTGCATGAACAAGCAAACGTGTCTTTCCCTTCGTCGAACAAACAAGAACCTCCGTTAAGGCATCCAGCCATCAGGCAGCCCTGATGAAAATGACTATACGTTACTTCGGTAAACGGCAAAAATCGTTCTGCATCGACTTCATCCGGCTTTTTATTCCATGCGAGGCAAATGTTATAGCCATAAGGAATTCTCTCATTATATAGGGGAGAAAACGCATTTACTACGCAGATTCCTGAGATTCTCAGCGTATTGGGTACTGGGTACTTATCTCTCAACAAAAATAAACGGTATAGTACAAATCTAATTTTGGATAAAACCCAAAACATGAATTCTTCATTTATATACTGCCGGTTCTGCTTTCCTTCATTTTTATCTTTTTCATATATAGTTGTTTAAACTCTACTCTGCTCTTAACTGTAATTTTAAAACAAGTAAGCCTCTCGTTCAGGGATAACATCGCCCTCGATAACATTTTGTTGCGACGTACTAGCTACAGATTCTTGCAGGTAGCGAGACGGATCCCTCAACATTTTTAACGGCACAAGATGACAAGACAAGATGACAAGATGATTTATTAAACTCAGCTCAGTTTTACATGACATAAACATTAAATTTACATAGGCATTTAAACACAGTACAACTAAGGAATGAAAGAAAAGTGGTAACAACAAAATGGAGAGCGAGTTGGGATCATTCAAATAGCAAAGCATAATCTAGTGGATGACCCCAAAGCAAATCTAATGTTGAACATAAAAATTCCACTGATAAATTGCCGTCTCCGCGTTCCTCTTTTTTGACAGTTATAGTTGTTTGCATTCTATACTTCTCTTAATTATAACTTTATTTTCAAAACATGTAAGCCTCTTGTTAGGGAAGAAAACATTGCCTTCGATAATGATTTTGCGGAACTGAAAACTTTGGGAAAGGAAAACATGGCTCGCTCCAATACGAAACATATGACTGAAATGCGAGTGCTAGCTAATACTCTTTGACAACAACCCAACTTTACTGTTTTACCTATTTTTTTATTTTTTTTACTTAGCTTCGCTTGAACAGTTGTTACCTTAGCCTGGGTGCAGGAGTCTATTTCTTCTTGCATGCAGAAATTAGGCTCGTCTGCACACGCACGCCCTTGTTGCCTAAGCAATGAAAATTCAGAACTTTTCTTACCTTAAGAAACATTGAAAACGTTGAGCCTGGATTATCAGTGAGCTTGGCGTCATCGTCAGTTGTAGAGAACGTAATATGCTTGTTCAGTTCACAATTGCCCGAACACTCTTTGAAGTTAGAAGAGGTACACCAAGAATGTCTTAAACATGCTTGACTGCACGTCATTTCATCCGTAGAATCGATTTTCTTGACAACATAGCCATGTAAACGCTTGTTCTCTCTCGTTTTGATATAGGCAGATTTAGATTCTTTTTCGGCTGCGAAAACTGTGCCAACGACGAAGCAGAAAATGAGTGAGCAATTCATTTTATTCATCTCTGCAGTTTTTCCGCGCGGTTTTCATCCGCAGGGTGTACTGTAGTGTAATGTCGCAATTTGTGATAATCGTCGCACTTTATCCTACCTGTGGTAATTTTTAATAAATCCATCACACTTTGTAATGCCCGGCCGCCGATTTGTAATTGTAATACTTGTCGCAATTTGTAATAAGCCTTGTCACACTTTGCAAAAAAGGAATATCTGCTTGTCCCTCACACTTTGTAATAAACTTAGCTGTCACAAGTTGTAATATTTCTATCACACTTCAAAGGCTTTGCGATAATAATCTTTAGTCATCTGAGTCTCTTGCTCGGTTATATATGCCATTTCACTTTTAATGGCTTTGATCTCCGCCATCGTCATTTTCTAAGGAAACAGGCCTTAAGGGGCATTAGTTATACCAAGGGAGATCATAGTTTTCTATTTGCAGTAATTTGACAAATTTATACCAGCAGCGAAAAAAAAAATAAAATCAGACGGCAATGAGTATTAAACTGAATGCCAATAGTCTTCAGTTGAAATTGAGCCTGTTCACAGATCAGACGCTCTATTTTCTCTTTAAATTCCGTCGAGGGCGGGTGATAAAATATAAACCGCAGGGGATTTATTGACCGCCAGCGCAAGGAGATATGTTTTCGAAAAGAACGAAAAGAAAAATTAAATAAACGTCTGTGTACAGGCTAGTTTAAATTAGACATTTCGGCAAACTGGTAAACGGAAAGGAGCTTTTATAGCAACTTGATGTGACATAAGTTACCGGGTTAACACGGTATAGAAAGAATATAAAGTGTCCTATCAGAATATTTTGAAGAGTTTTCTTAATCAAATACTCTCAAGCAATTACTGTTTCTAAGTAACTTTTAGTTGAAGCATGCGAAAGTTTAGCAAAAAAAACGTTGTTTAAGTAAATTGAGTGGTGGAAAAAAGTGGGTTGTTTTAGCATCAAATGCCAAAGTGTTAGCTATGGATTAGCATAACAGAGTCATTGAGAAGAACTCGTTGCCAAAATTTTTGACAGATCGTTTAATAGTTAAAATGTCCAGCGGCTTTGCTAATTTACACTGAAAATTAGCTGCCACCTGTTTAATAAAGGGTTTGGGTTACACTTAATAGCGTAACCCTTTTTATGATGGGAATCGTTTCAATGGAAACTTCCAGAAAGAAGGTGTTGCCTCTTTTTTTTTCCCACGGGTTTTCATCAATTACCACACACAGACTTGGATCATCTCAACGTTTATTAACTGCATGGCTACAAATTTAAAATCATTACACTTACTACACAAGAGAGGAGCTTGTAAAACAGATCTTGTCACTTTTGAAAGCCTTGAATTGTGACGTCATCAAGCAAAGAAGGTGTATAAGTATTGTTTTGACTATGTTTCAAAAACAACGCGAAGAACCAAACTCTTAAGTAGATCTAGTGCTAGATGACTATCACAGCCGAGGTCAAAAGCACACTGAGACCATTACATAATCTATCTACTATAAAACAATGCTATTAAAATTTTTGGCTATTCTAAAGAGGAATTCTTAAAATACTTCACTCTATTCTCTAGCTAGATTTTTGAAAGACCCAAAAGTCCTCATTGTCGTTTCGCCAGTTTTTTTTTTTTTCAAAGACTATCGTAATCTCCAAATAAGTAGCCGATACAAAAACTAACAGTGCAACCATTGTCTTTTCTCTTCTCCGCCTTCCTTTCTCCCACTTCCCTCTATTTTCGCAATTCCCGCGCCTTTTCCTTTCGTAGCGTGATTTTCTGCCTTTTTATCAGAGGCAAGAATTAAGAAACTTGAGTTTTGGCTTTCTTCAATCAAGAGGCTGCAATTCAGTTCCCTAGCTTTCAAAAATCCAGCTAGATTATACTCAATCTATCCTAAGAATGCAACTTATATGATCCATAAAGTACAACATGCGATAAACTGAGTAAATAAGAGATTCATTACCAACACAATGACCCCGCTGTTTTCTCTTTGATTCTGTTCTTAATAACCCTTTAGGTCACAAGAGTGACCAACATCAATTTTCTCCTAACAACATCAGCAGATCATCAACAGTAAAAGTTATGAGAATTACTAAATTGATCACCAAAGGGAGAACGCTTTGATCTTAAACCAAATTCTCTCAACAATTTTTAAAAGAAATGTATGGAGATCAGTGTGGAGAATTTGTATGTGGATCTTGGGGCTTAAAGGGTTAAGGTTAGGTTAGGAAACTAGTTAAACAGCAGGGTCGAAATGAAGCGATCTACTTCGAGCGGTACCACCCTACTTTACGCAGTACCACCCTCCTAAACGACAAAATCAGTATCCTCATCGATCTGCCGGAATCCAAGCTAGGGCAAATGCTTCTGTCCTAGACTCATATTCAGTCACTATTCATGTGTTTTCGGCGAGACCCAGAGTAGGGTGTGTGATTAATTTAGTGCTCAGATCTCTGTCAGGGGAAGGCAGAGTGAGATCTAAAAACAAAATTACATTGGTATACGGGATCGGCTTTCTGCCTCCCTTTCCGTAACTCCTCGCGTAACTCTTCTTTCCAGAAATCAAATAAAAAATGACTGACTGGTATCAGCGAGCGCTTGTTTTTATCTCTCGCCATATGGTGTTATGAAATGTCTTGATCAGCTTAAAGCGAACAGAAGAAGAGAAAACGTGCTGCCTGATCTTACGCGCAAAACTTCTCTTTAAAAACTACATGAAATGTCACTTTAATCTAAAGAACACTATACCCACTCCCTGTAAAGTGAACGCTATTAACTTTGAGTATAAACAATTCAACCTTTAGACACAGGCTCTGCGTTTGATCTTCATCCCTTAAGGGGAAGGTCATGTATAGCGTCCCTAACTATTTAACCTTTGCTTTAATTCCTATTAATACACACAAACTTAATTACCTATACACACATTGAGCTTAAAATACAACGACATTTTTTTATCCTCCCTTGATGGGCAATACTTGTAGAGGATAAGAGGTCTAGGTTGTCTTAACCCCGAAAATAGAGTGAGTGTGGGAATGGGGCAGGGGGTGTGGAGAGGAGGAGTGAACCCATATTTCAGTGAGCAGGACTCGGGGTTATGGGGTCCTGTAGTAAGTTTATAAGTCGACTGACAACATGAATGATTTATCCGCATTTTTCAACCCCAAAAGCCCATACCATTTTTTTTTTTCGATAAAATTGATCATGATTAACTGTAAGAAGACGAACCAATAATCGGTTACAACAAGAAAAACTGCTTATTTTTTACAACAACTACGCGCTTAGATGTTTAGATGTAAAGCGCTTTGGTCAATTAGTGGAGTTAGCGCTATATAAATTATGTTATTTATTTTATTTATTTCATAGCCCAGTTCAATTTAAAGGGCCAATGTCATGCTTTTTGCAATCTTTTTAAATAGTTAAAACATGTAATTTCAAATAGTCATGGTTCAGTTTCGTGGTTTAAGACTTTATTATTGGCAATGAAACTGTTTTCTGGTTGTCTGTTGCTAAGATTGGCAAGGATGGACATATGGATAAAAACTTGAAGAAATTGGGCCGAACTTTTCAAGTTTAAAAAGTTTTAAATTTTTTTAATGAAATTTGTTTTATATCTTCTTCAGGCCCAGTTGTTCAAAAGGTGGACAACGCTATCCACCAGATAAATCACTATTCACTGGATACCACAATTGGTTTCCCTAACACTCTTATAGACCTTTGTCACGCGGCGGCCATTTTGTCCCCGCTCTTCCCTGCTACGTTCAAGCCCTTCCAGGACTTTCAGTTTGTTGAATGTTCAAGAGGGCTGTACGTTAAAGAAAGGTTGTCGAATGACATAATGAAAGGTGTGAATCATTAAATAAGTAAAAATAACGCTGCAATCGTACGGGTAACTAATTTTATAAAATGTTTGTGTGATGAGCAGTACTAGTGCATGTTGCCTTTTTTAAATGGGTTGTGAAAGTTGCTTTAGCAAGAGTTTTTAATTACGTTGTAGCACGTATTGCTAAATCCCAAGCCTTTACCGGCCCTAAATAGTCCAGCTATATTGAAATCCTAAAACAAACTAGGCAAACTATTCTAACAGCAGATTTCAAACTATTGAATATTTGGGGATTCTGAAAAAACTAAAAAGCAAAAAAAAAAAAACATCAATAAAACAGCAATTAATAAGAAGTTTAAACTGAGTTATATTAAACTCCCCCTTGGTTCTCTCTCAGATTTAATAGTAATAAATATGATAGTTTGTGTTTAGTGCATGTAGCGGGATGGGTCAAGATAAAATACCTCTACCTCATCAGGTGAGAAGGCATAAGTCCCGGCCAGGACTGTGTCGTGGTGCTTTACTGCAGGTGGAACAGAGTAGCGTTTGTCCAAACCTGCAATTGAGTAGCTGTCACTGTCGACATTACCTCTAATGACGACAGCAGAGCCAAAACGTGGACCATAATATGAACCCCTGTAAATTGCCCTTCCTGAGAATCTTATCTTCACCTTGCTCACAAACGGTGCCAAGCCTTCATTATTGTTGAGCGAAAAAATAAACGCTTCGGAAGTAGCGCTATAGCCACCACTGGATTCTAAGAAACCAAAAGTACGTAAAATAAATAAATAAAATAATAATAATAATAATAATAATAATAATAATAAAAAACAAAGAAAATTGTCATATATGCTTTCGCGTTTGCTTCAATAAAAAAAATGAATTTCAAGTTTGAATTAATTTTATTACTGACGATATTAGCCCATAGCCTCCCCCGCAAACATTCTTGGGGAAGGAACGCGTGACCCCTGACGCCTAAGAATGTCTGCGGGGGAGGCTAATTAGCCCATTTTCACGATTAAAAATTACGTCATTTTTCAATAGCCACCAGAGTTCACTTTGCTTTTGCCTTCTTATTTAAACTAATATCTATTAATACAATTGAGGTAAAGGTAACTGGCAATAGCCCTATTGAATGATCAGGGAAGCAACCGAAGGATTGAAGTTCTTTTAGCAAGTTTTTCACTTTTAACGCAATTATTTCTTAGTGGTGAGATAAATTATGAGGTTACCAAACTTAATAACTGGAGATTTCTCAGAATAGCAATAAACTGATTCTGCTCTACGTGTAAATTAGAACCATTGGATCGATACTGGACATACGGACATGCGGACTCCGTTTTATTACGGACAATCTTGTTGGCCCACCACTCTAATACAGGATGTCTAGAACAAATGGTTTTGCTGTGCATATTCTCTTAGGCGGGACACATCCTTGACACACACTGTAAAGGGGTCGGTAGCTGACGTAATAAAAATTTGATGCATTCACCGGCATCACTACATTTAGCTTCTTTGAGTCTGAAATGACACGATCCGCAAGTCTGTGCAGTCCAATGTTTGTCAGATTCCATTCACAGACCTGTCACAACTCACGCGCTAACGAAGGAAGAAACTTCACTTCCCTTGAAGGAAACCTTACTGTCATCACAGATGGATCGCAGCCTCGACGAAAGTTGCTGGGGATGGGTAGAATTCGCCGAGACCTTGAGTTAAGCATGGCTCGCGGAAGAAAAAAAATTCTTTTTCTTGTCTTCAGTTTGAATTAAAAATAAAGGCGACCAGACCTATTGACGTTAAGACCCACGCTGGCAAAGCTAAGGTAACTAGGTTCATTACACAAAAACACTTCACCATCATTACAAGGTGACAAACCAAGAGTGACGTTTCAACCTTACAAAAAACAATTAAATTCTAATAAGCAGTGCAAGTAGATCAGAATTGTAAAGCTGTTGTAACAAAACCAAAATCAAAATCAAAATCAAAATCGACAGTGTAAACATTGTAGTAAAAAAGAGGTTAAAATAAGGGAATTAGCTTTTTTTTACCCCAAGGAATATCCGTGTATCCGCCAAAGATGAATTTGCCTTTCCTTATGATGGTAACAGTGTCGTTCTTTCCATCGCAGCGACTGTGAAACTGACTAACATTCCAGCCATGCAATGTAGCTCGCCAGCACAGCAACCAGTGAGAATTGTCCCCAACCGCATTCTCCAGAAAATTGCCCAAATGACGAAAATAGTAATCACTGCTGTTCAAAATCGACGAGTTCATAAATTCTGAAAATACTATTGAAGAATAATTTAAATTACTTAAAAATTAACGTGGCAGTTAGCATGACATAAAAGAAGCGACAATTTTAGGTTTCTCATATTTTTATAATGATTCTTTATTCCCTTTTGCCTCCTTCCCCCCTCCCCAGATATCATGTCCTTGTTCGTTCGCGTAAAGCATCAAATCTCCTCTCCCCCAACCCCTAAGGAATAAGGCCTGATACTCAGGCTACAGCCAACCTATAATAGTTTCCGTAACCGGCCAATAAACACCCAGAAAAGCTGTGACGAAAACTGCGCATCGGGCTGATGATTGTTTGCCGAATATGCAAATGTTCTTAAAACGTTAAGTATGGGCCTGGAGAATCACCCCATTCTTTTCATCGGCTTCGCCGGTTTGAGCAATAATAAACCCGGCAAACTCGCACAAGTTTGCCTGCTAACAGGCTAACACAAGCCATTTCATGTTAGAACTGAAAGGACCCTACATCAGGCCCGTAGGGAGGGGAGGGGGGCGACGGGTGCAGTCCCCCCCACAGGCTCTAGAGGTCCACTTTATATTTAGCCAGCCGATTTAAAACAAAGTGAGTCTACAGTATTGTTCCGGTATTGTTCTTTCCTCTCCACTAAGTTACTGACTGTGTTGTAAACTTGAAAATACTGTGAAAGAGTTGACAAAGCCTGACTGACGCATTCCATCAAACGTGTTTTCGCGTTCGTAAAGTATAAGAAAGAATTTGAAGTCCTTTGTCTTTGAGGATAGCTTAAAATATCAGCTGTTTGCCGGCTGTGGCTAAAACTAAGTAATATTCGCGGCACAGTAGAGGCTCTCCTCTCCGGCTGTTTATATGCACATCCACTAGGTAATAGACATTGATCTGGAAGAAGTCGTTGATCTGTTTGCTAAGAAGCATCCAAGTAGGCTTGAACTTTTTGCACTATTGAAAAATCAAACCTAGTGAATAATACTGATGCAAAAATTTCTTTCTAATTTGTAATTTGTAATTTTCAATAGTGACACTGACATTGTCCTTGTAAAATCGTAAAATAAAGTAGTGAGTCTCTTTGCCAAAAAAAATCACTTTTGAAGTTATAAAATTCGACAACATATCCATTTTTATCAAAACGCTCGAAAAGCAGTCTCAGACAACCCTTTTTCGCCCTAGAGACTTGCGCCTCCAGCCACGTTTTGTCCGTCTTCTCCTTGGATCGCACCCCCTTTCCCTTGCCGTACAGTAACAAAACCTGGCTACAGGCCTGAAGATTTAACAAACACTTTAGCGTCTACTAAAAAAAAAAATGGATGAATAAAAATGTTTTTATATAAGGTTAAGGTTTGTGCTATCAGGGTTTTTTTTACAATATTACCTGTGCAATTAAAGCCATTTCCAAAATATCCTGGTTTGCATGTACAATTGTAAGAGCCTTTAGTGTTGTTACAGAAAGCATGCGAGTCGCACTGATGCTTTCCTGTGTCACACTCGTGTATGTCTGCAAAATAGTAAATAAAATGCATTTAGAAGAATCTAATTTTTACTGAATGATTCCTTCAATAGTCTGTTGAAATCTTTCGTAGAAAATCATTTTGATGATTACCGTTTTCTTTGATTGCGTGCCACAATAAGTTAAGTGGCTAAGCCAGACGACACACCACTTCATGGAAAAACTAAGGGTTTGTACGTTCTATTCTTCCTTACCTACCCATAAAAGGGAAATGTGATTTCTCTGTATACCTCCTTTAATAATCCCCGGATGAACGTAAATATCCATAGGTAGTCTGAAATGTCTTTCATCTCCACCCTGTAACCGGTGAAGGGCGCGGGGGAGAGAGACACGCCTCCCACGGATTAAGGGGTGGAGCCTAGTCGTGTGACATTTCAGACTAGGCCATACGCAGTTTTCCTGGTAATGCAGGCTTATTAGGCGCATACAAAAAATAAAATAAAATAAAATAAACGATATCGTCTGCACACTCCCTAAATTGACATTCCAGAAGCGTGGGTAACCACATTCAGACATCGACTACACAGCTGCAGATTATTATCACTGCGGACCGCATGGTTGTTGGAAAAACCACCAACCATAAATGAAGCTCGTAATGCCAGATAATGCTAATGACTAGCAACTACGGGGGAATAATTAGCCCACCCACACAATTACTCGACACAATTGCCTAATGAAGACCAGAAGTACGCAGTTTGAAAAGTCGTGAATGAATAACTATAAGTAACGACTATCGCGAGATAAACGATAAACTGGTCTGCGAGCAGGCTCACTTGTGCGAGTTTCAAGTTGTTTTGGCGGTGGAGCCACTAGCCCTAGCTGGCAAGAAGAATGGGACGAGAAAAAGCGAGCCTGCAGACGAGCTAAGTTTTTCTTTTTTTAAATTCGTCCCTTAAGAGGTTTCAAGTACCATCTAATAGGAATAAAGAAAGATGTGAACAAAAATGACAGAATGTTGCACGAGGAGATTTTTGCGGCACATAGAAAAATATAGTTATGGAAGAGACGGAAAAAAGCGGCAACAAAACCCGCAAATCCAGCAAATGATAGTTGCCGAATATGCAAATATTTTTTTGACGTTAAATATGGAATTGAAGAATCGCTCTATTCTTATCGCCATTTTCGTCGGCTCCCGTTGACGGCACCGCATTAATATACCGTGAAACCTCTATTAAGCGGACACCCTCGGGGAATGCTATAGTCCGCTTAATACAGGGTGTCCGCCTAATACAGGTTTCGATAGGTAATGTCATATGAGGTGCCAAATGCCATTCAGATGAACAGTGGAAACGTTTAGAATACTCCTAGAAACTATGACGATATAAGTACTTGCATTAATTTCTTTATCAAAGTGAACCAATTGATCATAGTACCATAAAAATAGATTGCAACTCAAATTTGAGGAAATCATTGAGTGAAACAAGCTCTCAAGAAACAAAACGAAATAGAAAACAATACCGTACCGTGCAACTAATCAAATAAGTTCGTCAAGTCACGTTTTCTTTAAAAAGCATAAATCGAAAAATTTGTAGTTGGCAATTCGAGGCAATCTCTCGCCTTTCCTATGTCTTAATACAGGTTGGCAACAATAAAAAGTACTTTTTAGGTGTCCGCGTCCGCTTAATATATAGAGGCTTCCGCTTTATAAAGGTTCCATTAAGAAAAATAGACGGGAAATAAATTTGGGGACTTCGGCTACCGTCCGCTTAATACAGGTTCATGTCTCTGTATACCGTAAACCCAAACTCGGACTAGCCTGTTCCAGGCTCTGAGGACAAGTGAGCCTGTTCACAAGCGGCCTGTCAGATGCTATTTAAAGAAACCCCTAAAGATGTAACATACACCTTAATGGCAATCGAAAATATTTATTGAACAGAAATACTTTCCTGTCAGGTTATTCAGTGCTATCAGCTGAGGGTTTTCGCTTCCTTATTTTACCTGTGCAGTTAACGCCGTTTCCGATATATCCTGGTTCGCATGTACAAATGTAAGAGCCTTTAGTGTTGTTACAGAAAGCATTGGAGCTGCAGATATGCGTTTCTATCTCGCACTCGTTGATGTCTGCAAAATAGTAAATAGAATGCATTGATTTATTTAGAAGGACACGCCTCAAAGCAAGTTCAAGATAAGTTGACCTTGTAACAACAAATAAACTGAAACATGGATTGCCTTACACAGAATAATTCAATGAATGGTAAAAGAGGATCATAAACGAGGTTCTACTAACCATGTCCATGGAAAAGTCTTTCCCATTATTAGTAACAAATTAAATGGGTTATTTTCAAAGACTTCGTTAAGAATTCACCACACGTATAAAAAAGAGAAAAGCTACTCGAAACACGGTTTTTAAGAAAATTTAGAAGATGTCTTTGTAAGGAGCTTAGACGTTTGACTCGTTGAAACAGTTTGACTAGAAAAAGAGATTTCAAGAGAGATTTCAAGAGATTCTAATAGGCAAAGACATGACTGTTCCTGTGTTTTTTTGCGTTTGATTACAGGTGGCTAAAGTGCACTTTAGGAAACCCTGGTGCTTTAATGAAGTGTAGAGCTGTTTGTATTGACAAATCTAGCAGATATGGGCCAAAAAGTTTCTGTCTGCACGAACTTTTTTCGCGTTTGCGATGTCCACTTGAGAAGTTTGAAACGATATAGTTTTCGAGGTCCTCATTCCTTTTGTTAGCTTGGGACGTGCGCACTCTCTGCTGCACATTGTCTGCAATGATTAAACTTGTTTTTTTAACAATGGTCTGGGTGGTCTCTATATATGTTTAGACGATCATATGGAAATATATCCGTGAGGCGATACAGAATTATCCGAACAATTGTGACGATCGCAATCGCAGGCATTCAATCTTCTGGATAGAACCAAGCTCTGTAGATAGGCTGGCTAACATATTTTGGTTTACAACGTCCCAAGTAGAAAAGGATATAATTTTTACTGAATGATTCCTTCAATCGTCTGTTAAAATCTTTCCTAGAAAATCAATTTGATGATTACCGTTTTCCTTAATTGATTGCGTGCCACAATAAGTTAAGTGGCTAAGCCAGACGACACACCACTTCATGGAAAAAGTAAGAGTTTGATCGTTATGTCCTTCCCTACCTACCCAGGAAAGGAAAATGTGTTTTCTGTGTATACCTCCTTTATTAATCCCCGGATGAACGTAAATGTCCATAGGTAGACTGAAATGTCATTCGTCTCCACCCCCTAACCCGTGAAGGGCGCTGGGGAGAGAGACGCGCCCCCACGGATTAGGGGCTGTAGACGTGTGACATTTAAGTCTAGTCCATACGCAGTTTTCCTAGTAATGCAGGCTTATCAGACACATGCCAAAAAAATGAACGATATCGTCTTATTTTCACACTCCCTGAACTGAGATTCCAGAAGCGTGGGTAACCACATTCAGACATCGACCACACAGTTGCAGATTAGTACCACTGCGGACCGCACTGTTGGTGGAAAACCCACCAACCATATCCAATGACTAGCAACTACGGGGGAACTATTAGGCCACCCACATTATTACCCGACACAATTGCCTAATGAAGACCAGAAGTACACAGTTTTAAACGTCCTTAATGAATAACTAAGCCGTAACGACTATCGCGAGACAAACGATAAACTGGTCTGCGAGCAGGCTCACTTTTGCGGACAGAATGTTGCATGAGGAGATTTTTTGCGGCAGATAGCAAAATATAGTCACGAAAGAGAGGGAAAAAAGCGACAACAAAACCCGTTAATCCAGCAAATGATAGTTACCAAATATGTAAATATTTTTTTGACATTAAATATGGAATTGGAGAATCGCTTTATTCTTATTGCTGGTTTCGCCGGCTCCTGCTGACGGCACTGCCACATTAATATATACCGTGACCCCAAACGCGGACAAGTGGGCCTGTTCACAAGCGGCCTATCAGATGCTATGATGTTGGAACTATTTAAAGAAACCCCTAACGATGTAACATACACCTTAATGGAACTCGAAAATATTTATTGAATAGAAGTGCTTTCCTATCAGGTGATTAAGTGCTATCAGCTGAGGGTTTTCGCTTCCTTATTTTACCTGTGCAGTTAACGCAGTTTCCGATGGCCAGATGTAAAATCTGGACTGGACTGTTTTTTTTTAGGGCGGTAATTTTTTTGGAGGTTGGGGGGGGGGGGGGGTTGTATTATTTTTTCCTGTCTGTAAAAAAATCACGTTTTCAACCTTTCCCCAACAGGCTATATTTTTTCCTTTGGGGGGGGAAGGGGGGAAGTATTATATAGACTTCTTTACTCTTCTCTGTTGTTTGTTGGTTTTGTTTTATGTCTGTCATTTTTAGTCTGGGTGGGGGGCTTAGATTGGTCGCTCTGTTTGACTCAAGGCCGTCACGTTTCACTTGAAAGTTGAAGAAAATAGCAGGAGTGGATGTTACGTAATAACAAAAACATGACAGGTTTCTTGTAGTCGATCCTTTTGTCGAGGGTCGAATAGCCTGAGTATCAGGCGTTTCTGGGGAAAAGGGAAAAAATGGAAGCGAAAAAGGAAGAGAGGTGCATCTAAAATCTCCTCTCCCCTAACCCCGTAGGAAGGCCTAATACTCAGGCTAAGGGTCGAAAAGGAAAGAACCTTTTCCGTCCCTGTGAAGGTAGACAGGTCGTGCCTAAAAAAATATCATAGACCTTAGGCTTATATTTCAGTCACGTCTGCCTCTTCTCTTCCTTGCATGGCTATTCAGTGCAGTAGTTTGAATATGTATATTTCACGGATTCTTGTTTTTTAAGCTATCCCACTGTATGCGACCCAATTGTCCTGCTTTCAATGAAGCAGAAACGCACCATGAATATTCTAAAAGACAAGTCATCGATAATCACCGACACCGGAAATCGTGACCTACAATAGGTACGTAGGTGCGAAGAGTGATATTAGATGGTTGATGCTATCGCCCGAGTCGCCCCGCAAAAATAAACTCCTTCAATTAATAACCTGAGAATCAGGCGTTTCTGGGGGAAAAGGGGAAAGGTGAAAGCGAAAAAGGGAGATAGCTGAAGGAGAGAAACGCCTGACACAGATGCTTTTAATGAAGCCCTCCACCCCCACACAGCATGATTCGATACCATCCAATCAAAATCACTTTCGGTCATTGGGTTGTCAGCTTCACGTGTCAAAACGCTCGCCTAAAATAAATCTCACCTTACGGTCAGACAACCTCGTTCCCAGGGTTCTCTCCTACCCGTCCTACGGAGCGAGAGAGAGACCCGGGTCTCTCTCTCTCTTGCTCCGTAGGGCGGGTAGGAGAGAACCCTGGGAACGAGGTTGACGGTCAGACCGACCTCCAGTGCTTGTGTGTCTTGTGTTGCTACGATTTCGCTTTTTTCTGAAACCTCCAATGAGGAGTTTTCGAATGCTTGTAATGGAAAATCTGCCGTTTTTGAGGAATTATAACATGTTTTAGGAATTGTGCTAGTGTAAGATCACCAACGCTCCATTTGTAAATAAACGTGCACCCGGAAAATTGTAAATTGCTTTTGTTTAAAGAGTTACAACAGGCGCTCATTAATAAGCAGGTTCCTGAGAGTCTGGCAGCTAAAAAGCTGATGTAGATCAGGCCGAGAATCGTTTGAGGGAAAGCGAAATACGATGACGCCCGCTTGAGCTTAAGACATTTCAAAAGCGAAAAATATTTTGGAAGAGTATGCGAACAAATTCCAATCACGTACGCTATGGACGCTATCGTAACCGGCACAAGCAAAGTCACGCTAAAGCCTTGGTGCTGTGGGCTATTCTCAATACATGGCTACCTCGCTCTAATTTTATTTACAGTAACAATACCCTTTTAACGGCAGGATGGTTGTAAATCAGAACTTTATAGATATCTGAAGCACTGATATTGCCTTCTTTCTCCTCGTCTTGTGAAACCAATACTCCGACATAGTTTCGGTAGAAGCTGGTATATGAGGCTTCTCCATACTCCGAGAACATCTTTCCTTTTAACTACGAGGCTTTGAAAACACAATTCTTGCTCGGGTTTTATTTTTATTCCAGGAAAGAACTTGAAAGCGCCCTCTAGAGCCTTTGTGAATTCCTCTCTCCGTCCGTATGAAATCAAAACATCTATGAAAAATTTCAATGGTTTCTCCTTGCCGATCGCTGTGCTCGTATTTACTTGCGGTCGGTGACGTCAGGGGGTATTGTGTGTTATCCAATCACTTCCACATCCAGTGAGTCACACGATTTGCTGAATGGTTTTGTGTCAGGCCTTCCTTTCTCTTCTCCCCCTCCCCCTCCCCCATCTAAAATCTCCTCTACCCTAGCCCCTTAGGAAGGCCTGATACTCAGGCTATCAATTAACAACGTTCTGCAGCAAAACCTGAAATTATATCACTGCAGAAATCGGAAACACCCTGAAACACGAGAGGAAAGCACAGCAAACACTTATCGGCGCAGTTGATGGCGACAGCGGGATATTAAATAGGAAGTCATGTGGCGAAACTAATTTTGTACACATCTTTATCCCTAATGTGCATTTCAAACAGAAATAAGAAGTGTCTGCAGCAAAAAAACTATCTTTCACAACGGCTTCAGCGATTATTTCCTATTGTGCTCGAAAAGGGTAGCTTTTATTCACGGACAGCGATCAGATGGTCGGCAAGAAATTCGACCCTCGACGAAAAGATAGACCCTGTTTCTTGCACGTACCAGCCGCCCCATGGGGCTTTTGTTGCAACACAGAGTAGGAATTTTAAAAATGCTTTTATTCTTCTTATCCAGTCCAGTCCAGTCCAGGGTCCATTCCAGTCCAGGGTCCAGTCCTGGATTTCCATCTGGCTGGATAGGCGTTGATATTTAAGCACGTCTTAACCTTATGAGGTCATTATGGGGTAATTAGCTTAACACTAACCAATTTCACATCGATTGCCAGAAAATCCAGGCGAGCAACTGCAGTTGAATGCATTGATTCGGTCAGTGCAAGTTCCGTTGTTTAAACAGGGTCTGCCCTCACACTCGTTTATATCTGAAGGAAACAATAATCACAAATATAAATTGCAAACAACAACAACAAAAAGAAAGAAACAAGAAACCACTTTTACGGAGGGTTCTTTACTGCATACTGACTTCAACGAATTGAAACTTGCGAAAGAAAGCTATAAATGCCAATAAATGTCTTCTTCATATAAAAACAACAACAATTGAACATGCAGGACCAACACCGTCAGTCAGTGTATAGATTTTCAAGCCGATAAACAATGAAAATAACAGCTAAACACACAGCTCACCAATTTCACATCGATTGCCCGAAAATCCTGGTGGACAATTGCAGTTGAATTCGTTGCCTCGGTCAGTGCATGTTCCGTTGTTTAAACAGGGACCGCTCTCACATTCGTTTATATCTAAAGGAAATATAATAAAAAAATAACGACTAAGATAAATGCGTTATTATTGGCCGTCTTTTTTTTTTCGGCATTTTCATGGACCGAGAGGAATTCGAGGTCAATAAAATTGCAAAATTAACATACAATTATCCAGCGGACACTAGAGCCTCCCGATAAAAACGTATGTTGGTATAACATCATTTGACATTATCACTGTCGGATGATGTCGATGATGTAGGATCCATGTAGGATCGGATTTAAAATTGATCCATATTTTTTTAGTTATTAGTATTCAACAGTGTCCAACATTAGGTGTTTAAACGGGATACATAGCATGTTGCATTTTGGCGGAAATGCAATGCAAATAGCAGCAACTAGTAACTAACCAATTTCGCATCGGTTGCCGGCAAATCCTGGAGGGCAACTGCAGTTGAAGCCATTGATTTGGTCGATGCAAGTTCCGTTGTTCAAACAAGTAATATTGACACAGTCATTTATATCTGCAGGAGAGAGAATCAAACATATATATATATATATATATATATATATATGTTGTGTAAAAAAACATAAATGATAATTATGTACCTTTCAGCCAAGGTACATTAGACTTCAGCAAGAGTCAAAACACCCAACTAATAAATGTAATCGTTGTTCTAGAGGTTGATGGAGAAGGCCTGTCTGTAAATAAGTCACTTTATCGATCAAGCAGGGAAATTGAAATTTGTGGTCAGGTAACGTGAAGTAAAAGTTCAGTGTGATACTTATTGGTCGACATTTCTTTCAAGGTAGATTTCAAAATCTTCTCAGTTAGATTTTTTTTTATTTTAGTGAGCTCAAAGAAGCAAAGGTCAATAATATAATACCTACTAGGAGTAATCGGAGCTTAGGAGAGTGCGTTCGATATGTTTGTTGAGGCGGAAGGGTGATTGCGATGTAGATAAATATGATTATGGCATATTTTGAACGTAAGGGTTGCGTACAGCGAAACCTCTATTTAAACTGTGTATCATTTTAAGAATGTTTTCAAAAGATATCGTATCAGGTTCGGTGTCAAGTGCTTTAAATCGGAGGAGACATTGGCCAGCGTCCAGGGGCACCCAACGGCAATTTTCGCGAAAATATCTGTTCGGAAGACGATTTGAGATCTAGAATTTTCGGAGCATTTGTTGTAAAATTTCTTGCTTGCCTGCCTCTCCTAGGATTTTCGAACATCTACAAAATGGTATAATTACCCATTTTTGACGGATTTTGACCCTAAAAAAGGCCGCCTAGAATTTTCGGGGGCCTTTTCCTGGCTGAAATTTTCGAAAAGGTAAATTTTGATCCCTATAATTTTCGGGTCATTAGACTTTCAGCTAGGAAATCCGAACAGATGAAAAGTTTTTAGGAGATAAAAATATGCCTATGTCTACCGTTTGAATCAGCAAAAAACGTTCAACAATGCTGTGTTAAGTGGTTTTGAACTATATCCTCGTTGGGTGCCCCTGAGCGTCGGACGTGTAGATGGAACATTTTGTTTTACTGGCGCGAGTTAGAGGGCGCAGTTTCTCAAAGGCCGATTAGTTCTTAACCCGGAATTCTTTTTCTTTCTTCAAGAACATTTCTTCGGATAATGTTCTCTGTTATTTTTAACAGCATCCAATCATCAACTAGTTGACAAAATGAATTGCATTGAATTTACTGGTTTAAAAGCACTCACATCTGAATTCAAACTTCGCACTAACCCTATCAAAGCCTTCAACGGAACGTGTGTGCGGCTCACGTCAATAACTTGTCCAGTAATTTGGTCGAGCGTGTTGATTTCAGTGACTCGAGAGTGGCGCTACTGTGGGCTGATTTATAAGTTTTTCCTAATAAATAACATAGGGTTAAAGTGTTCGTTTGTCCGGTGCCCAAAATATCACAAGTTATGGTCAAATGGCGCCGCCGAGCTTCACATCTCGGTAGATTTACTTTGTGGCACAATGGCTGCCAAAGCTACACAACTCGTAAATTTACTTTGTGACAAAACGGCCGCCGAGCTACACAACTCGGTAAATTTACTTTGTGGCATAACGGCCGCCGAACTAAACCCGGTTTGATGCATGCACCAGTAGTCGCAGACATTTTCCAAAGACAGTGACGAACCATGCTGAAAAATATGAAGGCTTAATCCAAAGTAAAATTTAACAGCAAACTCCTGAAAGATGAACGCTTTGGACGATTCAGCAATCACAGATCGATGTACGCTTTACGAAGATTCAGCAAACTTTTTAAAAGATGAACGCTTTACGAAGAATATCAGACCTTAGCAAACCTTTGAAAGATGAACGCGGAGGACACAAGAATCACCACATGAGTTAGCGCGTCAAAGTGAGGCAAAACTTAAGCACGCGCCTCAAAGCGAGGCAAATGTGTGTCGACGACGACGAACGAAAATGAAATCTCAAAAAAAAACCCTTATTAATTGCACAGGTCACCCAATAATGCACAGATCACCCAACACAAATTAGGGGTTGCGTTCTCGTACCTCGAACGCAAAAATCAGTACAAAAGCTTTATGCTGATAACCGTTCCCACTTGCAAAGTGCGTTAATTAGTGTCTCACCTGTGATTGTATTACAGTAAGTGGCAACATTGTTTAAACTCAGTATTTCTTACTCGTTTCGCAGTCTTTTCCGGTGAATCCTTCCACGCAGATACACTTATATCCATTTTCCTGGTACAACGAAATGCATTTTCCAGTGTTCTTACAGGGCGAACTGTCACAAGGAGACTACACAAAGGAAAGGATACGGCTGTAAGTAAAGACCATGATTTTATGTCAAAGTCAAAATATCCAGTAACGTGACGCATAACATTTATCCATATTAGACAGGTGCTGAATTTACGGCAAATTCAGTTATTGACTTTCGTCGACCAAGTTGAGCCCCAAGTTTTAGTTACATGTAGCATTAAGAAGGAATCCATCTGGAAATAGAGTAATTTCAATTTTTAGTGGACAAAAAAACCTGGTACCAGAATAATTTAAACAAAATCGCTTTCTTTTTTACATTTTTCAAGGGCTATTTATATACAAGTTAGTTAACTGTAATAACAACAAATACTATTTTTATGGGAGCCCGATAAATAAATGTCAAATTTTCACAAAAATTGTGAAAACAAAGGTAAAACTCTGAAAATGTCATGTGTAAGATGCTATTTTATGAAATTTGACATTTATTTTCTCGTCCTATCATAAGAAATTTTCTTTGGTGTTATTACACGTCTAACTAATTTCATCTTTAGCCCTTTAAAAATGTAAAAACAGAATGCGATATTGTTTAAATTATTCTGGTACAAGGTTTTTGACCACTGAAAATAAAAATTACTCAATTTCCTGATGGATTCCTTCTTAACACAATTATTCCACCTGCCGGTCATTTGGATATGGGCTGGCTCAGTAATCATCTCAGACGGAGCAAGTGCGAGTGGAACAATTGTTTTATTTAGTGAAAACGCCCACAAAATATCGACTTATCTTCCGGACTTAATTTACTTTTTAGGTAGCAAAAATGTTATCAGTCATATCTGTGTCTAAGCGAAAGGACTGATGAATAAAAAAAAAAAAATGAATGAATAAATACATAAATAAATAAAACATATTTATTCAGCGGTGAGCACTTGCAAAAATTCGTCAGGATTCTACTTTGCTCGACAGCTACAGTGATCGCTGATGATATGAAAATTGAATTGCATATTCAGCGCAGTTACAAGCTAAAAAAAAAAGCTAAAATTATCTTCGGTTGGCATGTAATAAGCTCGTTAAATACACAACAACTCTTTTTGGGGTTCTCTGGGTCTTCATTGCCTAGACCACGCGCGATACCCTCAGGGAGGGAGGGATGGGACAAGAAAAGCTTACAATCGTGTTCAACGCATCAGCTGGCCAGAATCGCATAATGACTCACACGTGGCAGCAGTTTGCATGGGCTTGGCGCTGAACTTCCACCACATGTCTTTAATCCTGATAAACAGGTTTGTCACTCACTAAATACACAACAACTCCCTTTGGGGTTCTCTGGGTCTCTATTGCCTAGACCATCGCGCGATACCCTCCAAACCGAGAAAAAAGGGGAGTTAGTGAGTGATGCCCTGGCTCATCTGTTGGACAGCCTCTAAGTTGTAGCGTAGTGAATGGTCTAAGTAACACTCATATGCAGTCGATTTCCAGTCACCTTGTAGCTTAATATAATCGCTAGGCACGCCGCAATGCAAGGCAAATGAGGCACCCCCTCGCCTGAAGTAGTGTCCAGAGAAAGGCGAGCTATCGTACCGGCAGAGATCCAGTGTTCGTTTCAGTTTTGTTGTGAATATGGTATATGTCAGTGTTTTAAGGACACCTTCTTCCATGTAATAAGCTCGTGTAATTATATATAGTGAATGCCATAATTACACTTAACATCCTTTAATGCGCAGATGCTTAAAGACCAACTGACTAATAATAACGATTGAATAGAAAAAATTTTGGCGAGGCTCAATTCTAACTGACTAGACTTTTTTTTATTGTTTTGATAGTTAACAACAACAAGAATAAAATGATTAGAACGCGGGAGGTGAAAGAGAAATAGCGAAAAATTCCAATTTTAATTCTTTTTTCTTTTTTACGGTTTAACATAAAATATTCTCGAAACTGAGAATGTTTTGTTCAAAGCTGTGTGAATCGAACTGAATCAGTGCATGGAACCTTGGTTTCCCGTTTTTATCTCGCTTATTGTATGGAATATATGAGAGAATCTTCATTAAGAGTCGGTATTTTTCAAAGAGCTACACAATGACCAAGAAAACTATTGACCAACAACATATAGAGCGGGAGCAGCTAGCTGTAGTGACAACTATTACTAGTTTAGATTTGACCCACTTATTCGTATTACTTTCTCAATAATAATGCGGCGTGATGCTTTTAGCAGACTTTTTCGTGCTGTTACGAAAGATTATAGCACTGCCACCGCCAGTAGAAATATGCCTCTTTTCATGGTATTCGTGGGGATTTCCTTCCGCCCGCCGAATATCTTGCAAAGAGGCCTTTGTTGGAAGAGAAGCTTTAAAAGGGCTTAAAAGGAAAAAAAAAAATCGGGAATTGATAAAACTGATTTGCAGCGCAGTCACAAAAACAGTTCACAAAGAACAAAATACGAACGGTTTGATAATTAAAGGTGGAAATTCTAGCCTTAAATGTTAGAGGTTTTGGAACTGAACTCAACACTGTCTTGTGAACTTAAAGTTTGTGGCCATGCCAGCGAATTTAAAAACGTACGTTGTGCTGATGACAGTTTTGGTCAACAATCCAAAAATAAGTTGGACAATTATTGTAAGAAAAATGGGAGATAGTCTATTCGGCATATTACGATCGATAAAACAGGTGTATCAAGTTAATGGCGGAAGGCTAAAACAATAAAGGGGTATTGACGGCAAGCCGGCTTTTCCTTCCGCCCGCCGAATATCTTGAAAAGTGGCCTCTGCTGGCAGGGAAGCTTTAAAAAGGCTTGAAAAAAAACAAAAAACAAAAAACAAAAAACAAAAAAGAACACATCGGGAATTGGTAATACTGATTTGTAGCGCAGTCACGAAAACTGTTCAGAAAGAACAAAATACGATGGGTTTGATAATTACAGGTGGAAATTCTAGCTTTAAATGTGCGTTCCTATGGCAATATCAAACAGGAAATGCAAACACTATAGAGCGAATAAGTCCCCTTAGTCTCACAGGTTATTTTATTTGCATTGCTTCAACAAGCCGGCATAAATACGAATTTGCTGTATTAAGTGTGTATTCCAGTAGCTTATTTGTGTTGCTGTAATGGTAATATATCAACTATAAGCAGGACAAGAGACACACTGTGATAATGGAATTAAATTAACCTGGTCTTAGTTCACTTTAAGTAAAGAAAACTAGTCGAGCAGTTTTCTTGTCTTCATTAGAAGAGGTTAACAACTTCGACCCTTCATCCTATTGTATTAAGTTATGAAATACAAGTTCGCTTGAATTTTAGTTCCTTCTTTCCCTTTTAGTTTGTTTCCTATTTTCAGTGATGTCATTTTATTAATTATTAAGAACCGACAACAGCGTACAATATATTTTAAAACAGGGCTCAGATGTGGCCAGTCCAGCCATTCGTTAGAGGTTTTAGAACTGAATTCTGTTTTATGAACTAAATTTGTGGCCATGTCACCGAATTTCAAGACCTTGTGCTGATGATGACAATTTTGCTCCACAATCGAAAATAATTTGGACAAGTTTTGTGAGAGAAATAAGGGATAGTATATCCGGCAGATTACGATAAGACAGGTGTATCAATGCAAGTTAATGGCGCCGAAAGCTAAAACAATAAGATGTGTTGAACTTTGAGTGATTTTCAAGGCAAATATTTTGTTTGGAAGATTTATTTGAATTTTTGCCCGGCCTGACATTCGAAGGTAATAGCGATTTTAATTTCACAAAGTATGTCAGAGATTGTTTCATTAGAAATAGGCAGGCGTATTACTACTGGAAAACGCTCTTGGTGTTTTTTTTTTCCACCCCCCGCCTCCCCTTTTTCATGGCTTAAAGGCAAATTCGCTAGCAAACTTGTTTTCTTTTGCATTTGAAGCACAGTTCGATCAGTGCATTGGAGACTGATTCTCCAAGCAAAGAGATACGTGTCTTATTTACAAATGCTAACTTCCGAAACTAATAACTAGGGAGACAAATGAGAGGGTTATTTATTATCCTTCCAATGAAAAAGTTGTGATAAATAAGTAGTTTGACTCACCGGAATATAAAAATGATGAAACTCTTTGCTGGCGTTGAACGTATCCGAGTTGTTATATTTGTCCGATGGGAGGAGTTCACACAGAAGTTTGCCGTTGACATCAGGGAAAGCAGCCACGTTGTAGGAAAAACATGACGGAATTTCTAGACAGGCGTAGCCACAATCGTTTTCTTCTTGAATAAGATTCCGCCCCATACTTGTGATATTGAGGTAGGAAAATTCACTTATCATGAAGTTGACATAGACAAAGTTGTTAATGGAACCTTGGCTGAAAGCTGTTCAAAAGACAAAGGAAAAAATGGTAGCTTTAGGAATATACCGAAAAAAATTAATATTTTCCAAAGGAGCCAGACTACTGAAAATATAGACTGCTTGAACTCAGGTTAGAGTGTTACCTCTAGAAACACTTGGAAGTGTAGTAAAGATCCCTATTACGAAGACATAGTATCTAAGAAGTACTTGATAGCCTTCCATGTTTCTTTGAGTAAGTCGCAGGGCAGTGCACGATTGGCCTTCTTCAAAGTTTTGCCTTCGTTTGGAGAAAGCTTCAGTTGTCCAGATCTAAATCCGCTTGTTTGTTGCTTCCTTGCTGTCAAAACAGACTGAAATACAATCTTTTCATTACATTGGTAGTATAGTATTCGTCCCTGGGTATTGTTATTCATGACATTATAACAAGGTATGGGGAATCAATATGACCTGGAAAAAGCCCAACACAGACTGAATTGAACAAGGGCGGATTTAGGGGTGGGCACAGGGCGCCCCGCATTCCCCCCTCCACTTGTCCGGGAATTTTTTCTTTTGTAAACGTGTGTCGGATGGTACTTGGAGCTTTGTTACTTAAAGATATTTTCTTTAATAAACATTGTTAATAAGAAAATTTATTGGACGTTGTCTTTGCCGGGAAGTTGTGCTCTCGCCGCAATCGCTTCGGCCCCTGCTAGCATCATAAAGTTTTAATTACTTCTTTGACCACAACCACACCTGTGGTTTATGAAATATTTCAGCATTACCTATTCAATATGTAATCCAGGCATTTGCTAAATTTAAGAGTCTACAATGCACTAGATTGCATTTCAGAGAACTTCAATCTCAAAAATTTCCCGGAGGAGAATGCGCCCGAAATTCCCTAGAAAAGTGCGCCGTTTGCAGTCTTGATGGGCAATATCGCGCCCATATTGAAACTGTATACTATAATGTCTCTAGGCCCCCTCTATCACAAAATCCTCCGTCCGCCCCTGTGAATATATAGGTAATCTGGAACTCGACTTACTCGCTGGGGAGGGCAGGTGGGTCGCCAATCGCCTTTCATGTCAGACAAAGTGATTAGAAGTGAATGAGACAGCGGGCCAGTGTTTCCTATTTTATATACCACGAGCCGAAGTAATGGGCTCCTGCCTTAATACAAATTAGTGCTTTAAAACATAAAATTGAGAATTGGGTTACTTAAATTGTTAAGAATGGGTTGCACAAGTCTCGTTTTCATCCCACCCTGCTTGGTTAAAGCCTTCCTCACTGGGCAGGACGTTTGGTCGCAGTCGACAATTATCAGGGGCACCCAACGAGAATATGGTTCAAAACCACTTAAACATGGCATTGTCGAACGTATTTTTAGTATTTAAACGGTAGATACACAGGGTCCAGAGGAGATGCGTTTGTCGTTAGAACATCAAAACCCGTCGAAAACCTCTGAAAAAATGGGTTATTTTGATCGCGTTACGGTTTCGTTACACATGGTAGGTACTTCATATATGATTATTATTATGTACCTAAACATAGTTATTATATCTTACTATATATTATTATTATTACACTATAAACACCTACAGATATCAACATACATCCCTATACATCACCATACATCACCATACACCCCTTTACATCGCCATATACCCCTTTACCTCTCCATATACCCCTATACAACACCATATACCCATATACATTGCCATATACCCCAATACATCACCATACACCCCTTTACATCGCCATATACCCCTATACAACACCATATACCCATATAGAACACCATACACCACAATACATCACCATACACCCCTTTACATCGCCATATACCCCTATACAACACCATATACCCATATACAACACCATATACCCATATACAACACCATACACCCCCATACATCACCATACACCCCTTTACATCGCCATATACCCCCATACAACACTATATACTCATATACATCCCCATACACCCCTATACATTCCCATACACCCCTATACATCACCATACACCCTTATACAACACCATACATCCCTATACATCCTCATACACCCCAATATATTCCCATACACCCCTATATATCACCATACACCCCTATACAACACGATACATCCCTATACATCCCCATACACTCCTCTACGTCCCCATACACCCCTATAAATTCCCATACGCGTCTTTATACATCACCATACAACCCTATATAGTAATTTTATGTGTGTCATTGTCCCGTTTTATTTCTAGATGTCTTACATTCAGCAAAGCATATATAGCGTTAATTCTTGTCAAAGCTCGCCACTAGTGGTGTTCCTGCATAGCATGGTTGCCCCGGTGGTGGTATAGCTGTCTGCAAAAAGTCCTTTAATTGCTTAAATTCCAAAAAGATGGTGGCTTAAAAAGCTCAATCTAACATCACGTCGCAGTCACGCAACGGCAAAGTAAAGTCGTAGTGTTTTGCTAATCCAAGCATATTCTTATTGTTTTGGGGGCGTTCTCGTTGGCTTCGTTTTCGTCGTTTCTTGGTTCGAAGAGTAAGCCGGCCGACTTGTGCCGTTATGGGACTGGGGGGTGGAGGGGGGAAGTATAGGAGTATATGGTGCTGATTAGGGGTATATATGTTGTTGTAACCTGTTGTATATAGTACAATAATAATAGGTATGTTTAGGTACATAATAATAATCATATATGAAGTACCTACCACACACATTCTATAGACCGCAAACCAAGAGACTGAGGGCTCGCAAGATCGGCTTACAGTATAAAATACGGAAAGGGAGGAAACAAATTTGGGGCCGATTTTCGAATCCCTGAAACTCAAATGGAATTGAATGAAATCGCCTGATTTTACTAACCTGATCTAGAATTCTTATGCATTTGCCAAATACTGTAGGAAAACGGCATAAGAAAGCGTTCAAATTCATTTTCGGCGACCGAAATTTACGGCTTCTAGAGAGCGCTTTCGTTCGGTGTGCACCGCAACACATGGTCACGGAAATGACGTATAAGTAAAGTAAATGTGTTTAAGATCGGAGCAATAAAAGGGAAGCCTACACGACTTTTGTCTCATGCCAAAATGCTGCTCTTTCCAATAAAGTTTTTTTCCTCTGCTGGGTAGATTATGCTCTGGAAGGTTCTACAGCAAATGTGATTTTAGCGGGAATTTTAGCCGCATGTTTCACACTGAGAGGTCATGACACATATCGATTTACTGTGGTTATTGTTTCTGGTCGGCAGGATCGATTCGCCCTCTGATGCAAGCGCAATTTCTCTGACCTCTTTTGAAGCGTAAAGCTTTTTATTATATACATACTGAGAAATACTCACCAAAAAGCTATGTCGTAAATTTTCGTACGCAAATTAGTTATAGCCAATCAGAGGAACGAACGATGGTTTTCACACGTGAAAAAAACGATACGTCCAATCAGAATCGCGAACGATGTTTTTTCACGTGTGAGAAAAATGATACGTCCAATCAGAAGCCACAGAGGTGTGCGAGTTTCGCGCCAAAATTCCCGCCTTTTATTGCAGCTTGCAGCGCCGCTTCGCACACATTTATCAACGAGAAAAGTTTTACTCAAGGAGTTTTTCTCACTAAAAAAGTGAAAAACATTTCGGAAATGGAGTGGAATAGTTTCGTTTGTTTCACTGTCGATAAAAAAATACGGTAGAGAGCCGGCGAAACAACAGCGGAAAGGGATAAACAGAACGAGACGTAAGCTTTTGTTGTGCTTTTTGTCGGAGCTACTTTGCCTTTCATTTAAGCTTAAGCTTATATTGAAACCGGCCATTTTACTTAAATTCACTCATTTTCAATTGTGCATTGAGAACAAACAGTTAAGATTACTTATAGTTCTTGGATTAAACCTCATATCCTCACCGTCATTTATGTTTTTAACAAACGTTTTTACTAAAAAGCTGATACTTCGTTTTCGTTGTCGTTTTGCGGTAAGTGTGTAGCGGCAAATTTTAGCATTTTTGAAAGATTTAAAATAAAAAGGCCCGCAAAATGATGAATGACTCAGTATGTATATAATAAACACAATACCACATGGAAAGTGCTTTGTACGGTATTTACGCACTCGTTGTTTTTGTATCAGAAATCTTACTCGTTCGCTGCGCTCACTCGTTCGATTTCTGATACGTCAACAACTCGTGCGTAAATACCGTACGCCAGCACTTTCCATGAAGTATTCTCTATTTATTACAGCTGAACAAGGGTTCCAGTTTTCTCCAAAGTGCCTTCTGGATCTGAATAACTAAGCGATTTTCTCTAGTCCGTGAATGTAATGTTTTTCTTCAATGCTGTATCACGCTGGGCCCAGCTTGTTAGTTTTGTTTGGAGAATGTTAAATTATTACGCATAGTGATTTACGGGTCGTGTGTACTCTTGCAATAAAAAGTAACACTGAGTAGAGCGGGCGTACAAGGCAACTGTAACATCATCACGACTGTGCCATTCTTCGGTTTGTCCAACTATATTACCTCTTGCGTCTTTGGCTGTGCGTTTTGCGACTACTGGGAAGCCTTCGCACAAGCAAAACCTGCTTAAGACATCGAAGACGGTTGAAACGTACAACAAATGTCCAGTCTTGAAAGATCTTCACTTCAATTAAAACTCTGTTGTTTTCGCATAGATCTCTGAGATCTTTAAAACTCTCTCCGCAGCTGATGTTTTGATTCTCGTATTAGCAGCGGTCTGTTGCTTTTGCGTTTCCGGTCTCATTCCGACTTCCGTCACCGAGTGCTGCGGTTCACATAGAACGAAGTCACGTGGTACAAGTTTCCTCCCTTGTCCTTCGGGCGACGTGCCGTGCGCCAGCAAGGATATGGCTTGCGGTTATTGATTTTCAAAAGTCGATCTGGGTCAGATAAGAAGCGAAGAAATCGTTTACAGTAGATTTATAAAGATCCCATTGGGCTAATCGTGCTAAGCGACAGGTATAGACATTTTTCAAGGTAAGTAATTCATTTATTCACACGAAACTCCTCTGGACCCTGTGGTAGATATAGGCATATTTTTATCCTCAAAAAATTTTTCATCTGTTCGGATTTCCTAGCTGAAAGTCTAGTGATCCGAAAATTATAGGGATCAAAACTTACCTTTTCGAAAATTTCCGCCAAAAAAAAGGATCCCGAAAATTCTGGGTGACCTTTTTAGAGTAAAAATCTGTTAAAAATGGGCAATTATACCATTTTTTAGATGTTCGAAAATCCTAGGAGAGGCAGGCAAGCAAGA